ATCACATGCAGATAATAAGTCCCATCTTAAATTGCAAATTTTATGCATGACTGACCACGCTTTCACGCTCCAGTGAGCAAAACGCGTCTTCAGTTTTTTTTACGCGGGAAGCCTGTTAAAGCTGCACGCAGCTCTAGTTATTATTATTATTATTATTATTATTATTATTATTTTATTATTTTTTTCAAATTGGTCCTACAAACTTGAAATTCACCTCAAATGTGCAGAAGTTCTCAGCTAGCAATAAAATGCAAATTTTATGCATGACTGACCACGCTTTCACGCTCCAGTGAGCAAAACGCGTTTTCAGTTTTTTTGCGATTTCTCAAAATTGATACATGCTATTGGGTTGAAATTCATAACAATGATTAATGGACATGTTCCGGATACGATATGTCAAGGATACGCATGAGTGACCTCGGCGATACGCTCCAGTGAGCAATATAGGATTTTACATTTTCATCTTCTTCTCGAGAACGACACTACTTAGAGACTTGAAATTTACATCACATGCAGATAATAAGTCCCCATCATAAATTGCAAATTTTATGCATGACTGACCACGCTTTCACGCTCCAGTGAGCAAAACGCGTTTTCAGTTTTTTTGCGATTTCTCAAAATTGATACATGCTATTGGGTTGAAATTCATAACAATGATTAATGGACATGTTCCGGATACGATATGTCAAGGATACGCATGAGTGACCTCGGCGATACGCTCCAGTGAGCAATATAGGATTTTACATTTTCATCTTCTTCTCGAGAACGACACTACTTAGAGACTTGAAATTTACATCACATGCAGATAATAAGTCCCCCATCATAAATTGCAAATTTTATGCATGACTGACCACGCTTTCACGCTCCAGTGAGCAAAACGCGTCTTCAGTTTTTTTTACGCGGGAAGCCTGTTAAAGCTGCACGCAGCTCTAGTTATTATTTATTATTATTTTTTTTTCAAATTGGTCCTACAAACTTGAAATTCACCTCAAATGTGCAGAAGTTCTCAGCTAGCAATAAAATGCAAATTTTATGCATGACTGACCACGCTTTCACGCTCCAGTGAGCAAAACGCGTTTCAGTTTTTTTGCGATTTCTCAAAATTGATACATGCTATTGGGTTGAAATTCATAACAATGATTAATGGACATGTTCCGGATACGATATGTCAAGGATACGCATGAGTGACCTCGGCGATACGCTCCAGTGAGCAATATAGGATTTTACATTTTCATCTTCTTCTCGAGAACGACACTACTTAGAGACTTGAAATTTACATCACATGCAGATAATAAGTCCCCCATCATAAATTGCAAATTTTATGCATGACTGACCACGCTTTCACGCTCCAGTGAGCAAAACGCGTTTTCAGTTTTTTTGCGATTTCTCAAAATTGATACATGCTATTGGGTTGAAATTCATAACAATGATTAATGGACATGTTCCGGATACGATATGTCAAGGATACGCATGAGTGACCTCGGCGATACGCTCCAGTGAGCAATATAGGATTTTACATTTTCATCTTCTTCTCGAGAACGACACTACTTAGAGACTTGAAATTTACATCACATGCAGATAATAAGTCCCCCATCATAAATTGCAAATTTTATGCATGACTGACCACGCTTTCACGCTCCAGTGAGCAAAACGCGTCTTCAGTTTTTTTACGCGGGAAGCCTGTTAAAGCTGCACGCAGCTCTAGTTATTATTATTATTTATTATTATTATTTTTTTTTCAAATTGGTCCTACAAACTTGAAATTCACCTCAAATGTGCAGAAGTTCTCAGCTAGCAATAAAATGCAAATTTTATGCATGACTGACCACGCTTTCACGCTCCAGTGAGCAAAACGCGTATTCAGTTTTTTTGCGATTTCTCAAAATTGATACATGGTATTGGGTTGAAATTCATAACAATGATTAATGGACATGTTCCGGATACAATATGTCAAGGATACGCATGAGTGACCTCGGCGATACGCTCCAGTGAGCAATATAGGATTTTACATTTTCATCTTCTTCTCGAGAACGACACTACTTAGAGACTTGAAATTTACATCACATGCAGACAATAAGTCCCCCATCATAATTGCAAATTTTATGCATGACTGACCACGCTTTCACGCTCCAGTGAGCAAAACGCGTTTTCAGTTTTTTTGCGATTTCTCAAAATTGATACATGCTATTGGGTTGAAATTCATAACAATGATTAATGGACATGTTCCGGATACGATATGTCAAGGATACGCATGAGTGACCTCGGCGATACGCTCCAGTGAGCAATATAGGATTTTACATTTTCATCTTCTTCTCGAGAACGACACTACTTAGAGACTTGAAATTTACATCACATGCAGATAATAAGTCCCCCATCATAAATTGCAAATTTTATGCATGACTGACCACGCTTTCACGCTCCAGTGAGCAAAACGCGTCTTCAGTTTTTTTGCGATTTCTCAAAAATGATACATGGTATTGGGTTGAAATTCATAACAATGATTAATGGACATGTTCCGGATACGATATGTCAAGGATACGCATGAGTGACCTCGGCGATACGCTCTAGTGAGCAATATAGGATTTTACATTTTCATCTTCTTCTCGAGAACGACACTACTTAGAGACTTGAAATTTACATCACTTGCAGATAATAAGTCCCTCATCGTAAATTGCAAATTTTATGCATGACTGACCACGCTTTCACGCTCCAGTGAGCAAAACGCGTTTTCAGTTTTTTTGCGATTTCTCAAAATTGATACATGCTATTGGGTTGAAATTCATAACAATGATTAATGAACATGTTCCGGATACGATATGTTAAGGATACGCATGAGTGACCTCGGCGATACGCTCCAGCGAGCAATGTAGGATTTTACATCTTCATCTTCTTCTCGAGAACGACACTACTTAGAGACTTGAAATTTACATCACATGCAGATAATAAGTCCCCCATCATAAATTGCAAATTTTATGCATGACTGACCACGCTTTCACGCTCCAGTGAGCAAAACGCGTCTTCAGTTTTTTTTACGCGGGAAGCCTGTTAAAGCTGCACGCAGCTCTAGTTATTATTATTATTTTTTTTTCAAATTGGTCCTACAAACTTGAAATTCACCTCAAATGTGCAGAAGTTCTCAGCTAGCAATAAAATGCAAATTTTGTGCATGACTGACTACGCTTTCACGCTCCAGTGAGCAAAACGCGTTTTCAGTTTTTTTGCAATTTCTCAAAATTGATACATGGTATTGGGTTGAAATTCATAACAATGATTAATGGACATGTTCCGGATACAATATGTCAAGGATACGCATGAGTGACCTCGGCGATACGCTCCAGTGAGCAATATAGGATTTTACATTTTCATCTTCTTCTCGAGAACGACACTACTTAGAGACTTAAAATTTACATCACATGCAGATAATAAGTCCCCCATCATAGTTTGCCAATTTTATGCATGACTAGTAGTAATATTGAAACTTAATTGGTAGATTCTCTAGCTACAATTACAGTAACTACCCTGCCTACATTTGCATTTCACATGACTTATTTTGTCGAATCACTGCACTCCGGACAAACAGCTCATTGGTTGTTACAAAACCCGTAGTTACAAAACCTGGAAAGCAAATACCGTCATCCCACATATTTGACAACAATAACGTCACTTTGCAATTTTGAAGAAAAAATCTACAGAGCACCAGCTGTATTACCTATCGATAACGGCTTTCAAGGGGGAATTGAACGAAACTTGTATATGACCTTCTTAGAGAATTGCTAGGATTTTTCCAACAATGTGAACATTTTGTCACTTTCTTAAGGTATAATTTTTTATTTTAATCCTTGTTTACCTTGTTGGACACAAAATGTACAGGTACAGGTTTTGACATTATGTTGTTGTTGATCATCTTGCTGTGAGTATTCCTTCTCTTTTTTTTTCTTGGGAAAAAAAAATCTCCTTTCACTGTAACTACCGGACCAATTGCAATTAAAGATTTTTTTGCTAAACGACCATTAATTATTTCAAAGGTTTTATTTATTTCAATTTTTATGAGTAGTAGTATATATTTACGGCTCTATGCAATTCGTTTTTTGTGTGCGATGAAGTCATCAAAAAGTGCGAACCTTGTGGCGGTTACTTTTGCGTTAGGCGTGAAGTTTTGGTTTCGTATCCATATATTTGGGCATTGCTCTCTTGTTGATATTTTAGATGTACAGCATACATATCTCAAAGAAAATTCCCGACAGTGTGTATGTATTTATGTATGTATGGTAAGAGCCGAAGCCAAAGCAATCCTGACGAAACATCAGATGTGGAAGTCACTATTTCCATGTCGACGTTGCATATCTTAGGAATCATTTTACTGCGCACGCTCAGACACGTCAGGTTGGGATGAATCGCGGTTGCGATGAATGTGTACCGGATCTATTAGAAGTTACAGGTGTACTTGATTGTGCAATCTGTATTTATGTGTATTCGTTCACGATAATACTTTCAAGTCTCGACATTTGTTGAAGCAACATATGATTTCTGTCTTGATTTACTGAACACTATACAAGAAATTTCAGTACGTTAATGGCACAAAAATAGATTCTGCTTATATTATAATATCAGATAATATGAATTGTAGGAAAATTATCTGAAAACAAAGATTCACTTCTGCAACACAGTCGACCATCGTATGATCACGCAGCTGCAGCTAACATTGATCGTAATGTATTCTCGTATTTTTGTGTCAGTGACTAGCTGCGGCTTCTACGACTCAAATAAATAAAACGAGTAAGCGTCACTGAACTTTTTATTGTACTGACCGATTTCTGGTTGACCAGACCACTAAATTAATTTCAAAAACTTCAATTTTTGTAGATGTTTTCTTTGTAGCGATGGTGTCAACTGCTCTAAATCTCGCATCCAACGCGATCTGCAGACATATCTCTAATGCGGATGAACTTTTTATGTGGCTTTATGAAACCACTTGTGCAGTTATTTACCCAATAGTAACGTAATATTCTTTATTTCCAGATTATTTGACAACACAAGCTATGAAAATAGTAGTAAAAATTAAAAAAAAAACTATATACTGAAGCCGCCAAAAACACGCGAAGCACTATGGTTTATACTGCACTGGTACAGTGAAAGTTAAAATTAATATCAGATACAGTGTTTTGCTTAGAGTCAAGATGGGTAATGTTGAACATAGTTTTTGCTTATATGATGACTCAAAGCAGAAAATATGTAGCTAGAACTAGAAATTCGTATTTAGATTTATCTACAGTACGGTCAATAAAATTTAGGGCCTAAATTATCGCTTTTTTTTTACATTTTTGAGTCAATATCAGCTACATTTTATAGTACTGTCTTTGGAAAAGAAAATTTTGCCATTCTATAACATTGATTTCAGAAGTGTCTGCAAATCTTATTGTCATAGTCAATTACGGCGGAGAATATATAAAAAACAAACAACCACGAAATCCTCGTTTCATTTATCCATTCCATTTGTCAGCTTCTGCTGTAAATGACCTATCGTCAATTCTTAGCTGCAAGGTGGTTTCAATGTTCTCTACAATCCAAAGAATGCTGAAAAAAAGTTTGAATAGTGTAAAAAATAAGATATTTGTACTATTATGGAGATTTTATATAATTATTCGCTTTCCAGTTAAAAGAAAAGTGAGTTTCTTAAATCGGGCCCGACCTTTTACAACCGACTGCAACGGGCATTGAAAATAAACATATATATTTTTGTAGACTTTATTTCGTACATGTTCATTTCTAGCGAGAAATGTTATAAAATTTTTAAATCTGTAGGAATCAGCTCAATGTAACAAAACAATAAGGATGCACGCGATTGAAAACTTCCACGAACAGCATTCGGTTCAATCGACTGCTACGTCTTCCTTCAATAAGTGTTGTGTAACATTTACAGTTAGTTACAAATGAACGCAATTCGGTTCCTATATTGAGGTTTAAAACCGTACGTGTACGTTATACAATAGATGTTTTCTGTCCGTTGTTGAGATAAATACTTACATCATTAGAATTAGTGGAATGCATAACACGAAGCTTGCTACGATCCACGAGAATCCGTGTGAAATATAGAGCGTTGCAGGATATATGTACAAAAAGAAAATTGATGAAAATATGCTGAAAGTACCCTCAATTCCTGAGAGAAGAGCAAGAGCTGACCCTGAAATATGACCAGAATAGATGTGCTTGTGTGTCAGAAACAAAAACAGTTCGATAACTTTAAGATGCTATTCCAAATTCTATATAATGTATCAATAAGTCGGTCCAGTTTAAATTAGCCACCAACTTTAGCTAAGATTTTGTAAAATATCCATATACCTGGAACTAAATCATTAGATTTAATGAATGTTTCTGCATCACTTTGAATTAAACTTGTTTGGATTATTCAATTTTACTATACTTCGATAATGAATATAGACCGCCAGCCAAACGAGTAAATAAAAATGGATGAATGATTTAAAACCGAATTGCAGGTAAATCTAACTGTACCTTGTTCTGACGAAGAGACAAGCTTTGATATTTGAGAGCGTATGATTGAATTCGGAAAGGTAGAAAGAACTCCGATACTCGTGGCTGAAAAATTATTATTCTGTCAAGAAAATATTTATTTGTGGAATATTTGATTAGTTAGTACTGTTTTCAAATATTATTCTCACAGACAAAAGGTTGGTTTGAAAACTCAATACTTTTTGAAATTCTCTATTTTGGTTTTTATTCATTTACATTGAATCAAATCGATCTCACATAGCCTTGATTATGATAAATATGAATATATTGATGATATATGATCAATCAATATATATACAAAGTTTAATTCCATAAATAAAGTTTACCTGAAAAAACGAGAATAGGAGATTTAGCGAAGCCCATCATTAAAGTACTTGACAAGCGAGTACAAATCGTGAGTAGTAGAATGCTTTGAGTCCTCAATCTCAGCACGGACTCATAAAATTTGATGATGAGTGGACTCAATATTACAAGTCCGCTGGCAATGCCCTGTGGTGGAAAAAAAATCCTGCATATTGTCGATTTCGTTTATTGGTCCATATTTGCGCAAATATGTTTACTTCGTAATTTTGCAATTCCTTCTAAGCTTGATTTGAGCATACAGCACTGTATGGTGTTCGTTTAAACTTTTGAACAGTTTTAAATTCATCTGAAGTATAACCCTTCATTCAGGAAATTAAAAAAATGTACTAAACACGAGATAACCGGCATCATTAGAACCGTAGTTCTCAAACGATGGGACGCGCTCCGCAAGGAGGCGTAGACAATTTCTTGAGGGGACGTGAAGCTAATTTAAAATTAAAATATTTGCCAGATTTGCTCTTGTCCGATTTATGTCGCAAAATTCAAAATGGAAATCACGCATACCTTCGAAACCTTTATGAAGCATCTGAAAACATGCTTAAAACTTTTTATTTGTTTTAATTATTTACGTTTCATCCGCGTATTTTCAACGTGTTTTTTGAATAAAACATACTTTCGCCCATTTGTAGCTTATTGCTAGCTAGTTATTTTTCGCATGGGCGCGTGGCTTTACAAATTCTAAAAAGGGAGCGCGGCTTTAAAAGTTTGAGAACCACTGCATTAACATATTGTTTGAAGTAAAATTGTGCAACTAATAAATTTACTTACATTTTGAAGACCAATCATACCAGGTGTAAAGCAAATTGGATATGAAATGAAAAACAAAGTCTGAAACGCAGCCGAGCCATTAATGACAAATGTATACCAAGCATAGCTAATAACGAAAAACCATAGACGCCACAATCTTCTTGTGTAAAAACATTCATCGCTCACTGAGTCTGAAGAAAGATAGGTGATATTTCATAGAAGCAGCAATTGGAATCCCGTCATAAGGCCAGTCAATAATCGCAAAGCTTGAACAGTATATAGTCAAATGTAAAGTGAAATCAGTTTTAATTTGATCATTACCTTCTACATGATAACAAATATTTTTTTCTGTTGTATATATTCTCCAGATCACTTTAATTTGCGAGCAAAATGTCGATTTTGATGTTTTGATTGTAATTTCTTTGTTATGCAATAATGCCGTTGATTCGTCACATTCGTCTTCAACCATTGGACATTTTCGATCAACGTTTGATCTATAGCATTTGTCTCCTTGCAATGAATCTTGGTTAGCGTTTACAGAATCGTCAATGTACGGCAATACAGAATATTTATCGTGTTCAGCTGATGTCATCATGGGAATAAACAGAATGGCTGCTATTGCGCATCCAGTAATGAAAATAGAACTGGGAATGAATCCTTGAGAATCGATCCAATATCCAGAAGCTACAAGTACTACACCACCTCCAAAACTAGCACATGCCTGCAAAATCGTGAAGCTGAAAAATTTGGTAGAAAATAGTTTGCAAATGCTACTTAAGTAGTTACTGTTTCAGGTAATCATGTTAAATTAAGTAACTTGTTGAGAGCAAGATTATCAAAATTATCGATAGTGACAATATGGCAGAATATATTCATTTTTGTTGAACAATAAGTGTGCGTAGAACTGCAACACAGACCTTTCCGGGATAAAATACTCCGTAAGTCAATTATAAGCGCTTTGAGTGCTAAATGGATACTAAGTAAAATGCCAGGCAACTGCAGCTATAAGACAACTCAAAATCAGTTGCACCATAAACGGTTTTTTTTTTGTCAATCTGCATGAAATTGAAGAAGGTATGTATATAGACCAGGGGTCACCAACCCGTTACCCGTGGGCACCAAGTCGCCCGTGAAGACCAGATGAGTCGCCCGCAAATCTGTTCCAAAATAAGCTTAATAACGGCGCTTATAAGTAAGCTACATCAAATAATTTTTGTCATGTTATTCTTGTATAAATCACACTTATGTCTTATTTGGGAACTGGGAATGACACTATGTTAAATATTATTGTAACAATCATCCTAATTTTTATTTGACCCCAGTAATGTGAGTGACGGGTCATTTAATACTCTCCCAATTATGACATCACACAGATGTCACCTTCCACGAACCCGCGTTTTTCCGTGTCCGTTGATTTGTGGAGCAGCAATGCCTATAATACAATTAGTGAGTTCAAAAAAAATTGCAGAAAAACGAAAAAAAACCTACCATTTTCACGATGAATGGGAGGTGGATTTCCTTTTACCACCGTGAAAATAGCTTGCGTATGTCTCATTTGCGAGGTGATTATAACGACGACGAAGCGAAGAGACATTTCACATCTTGTCACTATCCATTGGTCAGCGTAGTACGGGCAGAAAAAACTTGCCTTATAAATCAAACAGCAATCCTATGTTACGAGACCAGTATTTGGTTCAAGCTATCTTTGTGAATCAACATTTTTTGACATGAACTTCACAAGGAACTAAGCTCGGAATACGCCTTACTGATGAAAATCTGCAAGACCCGCTCAGAGTTACAGTGTCAAGTTACACGCCTGAGTACAACACACTGGTGGAGAGCATTAGACAAGATTTGTTCGATTTTGGTTTTCTCCTTGTTGAAAACAGGATATTCATAATTAGTTAAATGTGTTTGTAAATGTGACATTCGGCAGTTAAGAACTGTTAAGGGTATTTCATCTTAGGGTTATGCAGGGTGTTTGTAAAGTAGGTACATGGTGGACATGTGGTTTCCGAGGATATTATTGTAGTGATCACTTTAAAATCAATTTGAAAATGGAAGTGTCATTGCTAGTAATATATTTGCTACGTTGTGATAATCGTTTAATTTCCTGAAGAATCCTAAAATTCATCAGTGTTTTTACTTGACCAAATACCAGTAATTATCAATAAATGAAGCTTAATCGAGCAAATTGACTCTTTTAAAAGTGTGCATTGAACTGGTAGCCCTCGGCTTAATCGGTAATCCGAAAGTAGCCCTCGACTTCGAAAAGGTTGGTGACCCCTGAGGCCCTGATAGACTTTCGCATAAAAAATTATACAGTAAGATTATAATCTCACCGCCTGTCTCGATCTTCTTCGTATGTTATGTCGCTAAGATAGGCGGTACCGATATTTAGAATTGCTACATAGGAACCTGAAGCTCCGTAAATAAAACTGACAATGATCGTCCAATATAAAGGCAGTCTGTAAAATAAATATTAACTTATGGTATTTGTTGTTAACTTCTTAATAGAACTCGTATCGTTTTGATTAGACTGGTATTTGAAAAAAAAAGTCAAACGAGTCATTTATTTGAGAACGTGTTATCCTAACGGTGCTATTTTTAACAACTTTTTTTTTTTTTTCAATGGTCCATTTCCTAGATTATGTCATACCTGTAAAGTATTGCAATTACTTGTACCGCCGATCCAATTGCTGTTCCAAATGTTGGAATTGCGATGGCCCATTTCCGACCAATTTTGTCGCTCCATGCTGTAACAATCAGAGAAAAGACAGCGCATGGCAAGAAAAATGCCAAACAGGAATACATCGTCCATCTGGAGAACAAACAAAAGTTCAAAAAGATAAGACTTGTAATCAAGAAAACAGAAGTAGATATTTAACCTAGTCTAGTACGAGTTAATTCTAAAGTACCAAGTATAGTCGTTCATCTATCCGTTCTATCGCATCACCAGTAGAGTATAAATCATAGGATATTTCCTATATAACAGTGTAATGGATAAACACGAGTCCCACCAAAACAAAGACTTTCATATGCCGTTAAAACCAACGTTATATTGAAAGTCAAATTAGAATTTAGAAGACCTATTTTCATGTATTCTTTTTTTATATGACGCGACTCACTTCGAGATGCTATGGTAAGATGTAAAAAAAAACATTCAAAATCTACCTGGATGCATCGTCGACTACTATTTTGCCATCTATTGTTGCAGTTTTATTATTGGAGCAATAATCGACTGAATTATTCTCAGTGTAGTTGTGTAGTTTTGGCAACAATCTGAAGAAAAATTATCCCCGAAGAGTTAATTAAAGTCGTAGCGAAGTTTGAAAACATAGTAACGAATATAAGGACGTGAATGGTGTTGTTTCAACAACTTCTGTAAAGATAATGAGGGTTGTTGTTTATTACGAGTACAGGTACATAATCATTTTAGTTAATACTTACCATGTATATATATTGATTCTGTATAACTTGAAAACTGTAACAGCAAGCACAAGGTAAGAAACACGATGGCTTCCACAGGATAGGGGAATTTACATACCATCGTAACTAGACTTAACTAGATTAAACCAGACACTAATGTAGCAAAGACAAAGCAGTTGTTAGAAATTACTCTGTGAACCATTTATTCCTTCGAGTTAGTCCGTGCTCGCTGCTCTGCTACGAGTACGGCTAACAGACAAGCGACTTTCGTGAACATATATTTGAACACTGCCCTTTTGTCAACATATGCATATAGATCGACTAAGCTTTTATTCCTCGAGGCATAAAGTCTGAAGGTGACATTTCCTAATTTTGGCTATTTATTTGTTGCTGTTCACAATCTAACCGAATATGATTCGAATTTTGTTGAGCCAGTAAACTACAAACACATAACGTCTGTTGTTAAATGTCATAATGCCTAATCGACTATACAGTTGTATTTGTTTGTTTTAGAATTCTGTGGACCAAGTCAGTTTAATTACATCGAACGTGAATTACTGACGTGCTATAATTCGATTGTACATCTGATGTATTAGTTTGTTTTAATCCCGTGTATATTTTGCTGTTTGTTTGTGTTCGATGTAAAATACTTTTTGATGGGATTTTAGGTTTGAAGACAATGTAGACCTTGAATGCATGGAATGATATTTGTTCCATCTAGCACTTTATTGCACGCATGTCACCGACATGTATCATCACAATGCTGACAAGCCTGAAGCTTGATTAGAAAGTATCCCATTGTGTTTTTCGCACAGGCTATATTTTTATATTTTATTGGAATAACGAATAGCGACGCCGATTTTGCCCCGGTTGCTCATTGTATATCGTATTCTCTCTTTTATCTTCCACTCGCCCGCGTTTGTCTCGTTTGTTTTCTGTTTCTTTTACTAAGTCATCGGGGCCGATCGGGGCTAGCCCCGAAATTATGACGCCACAATGCCGACGTTTCTTACAACAACGTGTTGACATATTCACGCATTCCCTCTCGTTCGTTTGTTGCTTGAAGAGTTGATAGTTTCCTCGCCTTCGTTTTTGTCGCTTGTTTCGCTATTTGAATCAGTTAGAGACCTTTAGTCCATTTGCTTTCGATTTTCCACATTCCTTTTTGAGCTCCTCACTTCTTTCCGGCTTCGCATGTCTTTGCCTTAGACCTCATAATGAATAAGGTTGATGCACTACTTCGCACTCCGTTTTCTCAGCTGCCGCTGGAACAAAAAATAGAGGTACAACGTCATGGGCCTTATCAACCAAAAAATTGTTCACTGGAACAATCCCATGACGGAGGAAAGCGTCGGCGTACATTCTGCGCAGAAACTTGGTATAAAAAACACGAATGGTTGTGTTACAGCGAGGAAAAAAATGCACTTTTTTGTTTTTATTGCCTACTTTTTGCTACCGCCCGTGACTCACGTTGGTGTAAATTTGGTTTTAAAGATCTTAAACATCTTTCCGAGCGTGCCAGGGATCATCAATCTTCTATGGAGCATCTGGACAATGCAGTAAAATACCGAACATTCGGAAATGTTAATATTGCAGCACAGTTGGATGAAGGACGCGCGGTTTCTATTCGTCGGCACAAACCAAAACGTCGAGAAAAACCGCCATGTTCTCGGTCGATTGATAGATGTTTTGAAGTTCATTGGTTGTCACGAGCTGTCCCTCCGTGGGCACGATGAACGGGCTGGCTCTTCTAATAGAGGGGTATTTTTGGATATGGTGGAATACACCGCATCCCTAAATACAGTATTGAGAGATCATCTTGATGCCGCAATTGTTTTCGAAAGGGACATCTAAGGGATATCCAAAATGATTTGCTCGACTCAATGTATATAAATTTATTTACAACATTTGGCTCTGGAAAATTGAGAATTGCCAGTTCTTTCCGATTCAGTCTGACGAGACAACTGACATCAACGTGCGTTTCCCACTGGCTGTGATTTTTCGGTTTGTGAAAGATGGTAAACGCTACCGAGAGATTTCACAGCTTTGTAACCAATCGTTGATCGCACGGCTTGCGGGATATCGGCTGTAGCTGAAAGAAGTGTTACGGCCTTACAACGCGAAGTCAAAATTGATAGCTCAAACTTATGACGGCGCGGGCAGTCATAAAGTGGGTCGAAACATGGTGTTGCAAGTTTATATAAAGAAGATTTTCCTCATGGCGCATTTTTTACATTGTTATGGCACACCAATTTAACCTCGTTATTAAAAATATGTGTCTTGATACCCCTCTCGTCCGTATATTTTTTGCAAATGTTTCGGGGTTTTCTTCATTTTTTTCCGTTTCGCCGAAGCGCTCTGACCTCCTTCGCCAGATATGTAGCCGCCGTCTCCCAGCTTGTGCACCAACACGTTGGAACTTCCAATCACGCGTGGTGCAGGGCGTGTCCGAAATTAGGTCTGAGCTCATTGAGTGTTTCAATGGCATTCAGAGCTCTCCGGTTTGGGACGAACGCTCTGTGAGGGAGGCGGCAGGTCTAAAGCGTCTGCTAGAAGATGGTGAGTTTTCATTTTTTTCTCCACAATATTCTATCACGTGGATGTATTATACGGCGCATTGCAGTCAAGGCTAATGGATGGAGCGTCTGTGCAGTCGTGTATTTCAGACTTCTGCGATGCTGTATCTCGTATCCGGGAAACAATAAAATACGACGACACATGGAGTGCTTCTTTACGCCGCGGGCAAACAACGCAGCGTTTGATTTTGTCTGCAAAGGAATGCTGTGACATTCTGGTGAATCAAATAGGCGATCGTCTGCGCACTGAACACCTTGCCGCGTTCTCTTTGATGAACCCCAAAAATTTTTCAAAATTTGCACGTCAATTTCCCATCCATTTGTTGGCTACTGTCTCCAAATTTTACCCCATGATAAACGTGGGTAAATTGGAAAATGAATTGCGATGTATATACACCAATCAAACTTTTTTGAACATCACATCAACTTGCGCGCTCTATGGGTTCCTCATAGATAACACTCTAGTAACTACCTTTGCGGCGTCTGCAAAATTTCTGGACATCATTTTGACGACGCCTATTTCTTCCGCCGACGCAGAGCGAACATTCAGCACGCTGAAGCGTATTAAAACGTATCTCAGAAACACAATGAAGCAAGATAGATTAAATTCCTTGGCTGTTTTATCCATTCACAGAGACGTTATTTCTGGGATGCATGACTTTAATCAGCGCGTTATTGAGCATTTTGCTTCCAAGAAACCGCGGCGTGTTGCATATATGTTCAAGCAGTAGAAGTCTAGCAGCATATATATCTATGAGTGAGCGACGCATGTCCTTATCTTTGCATTAACTTTCCTTTCTTCATAGTAACGTTTTAACTGTTAATATGTCATTGTATTTATCTGGGTAAATATTGCCTTTCCTTTTGAAAGAGGTTTCAAAATAAACTATGTCTATATTTATTAATCTCTTGACTTGGACCGGTTTTAAAGACACTTTCTTATCGTTAAAAATTGTCGCTTTTGCCGATTGGTTGTTACCGATGGAATGGTTTTTATACTCATAAAATGATGGGAGAACTTACAGCGCTCATCATGTCCCCGTAGATGGGGGTGACTTGGTCCCGTAGTAGCTTGCCCCGGTTGTCAAAATGACCACGCGCCGCCACTGGAAGTCAGTAACGAAAAACCACGATTGAACTCGGTTGAACAAATTTAAACAGGTACACACGATACATTGTGACAATGTAATATTGTCAGATAGTTTAAACATTCCAGCCTGCCAGTCAATATTTAATTTACGAGGTTTAAATTTCACGGTGTCCGAATCGTTCGGGGGGTTTTCTAATACGCGAAAATAAGATGTTGCTTGTCAATTATATCACTTCGACAAAAATACTATCTACTTTTAATGATTATGATCATATTTTACCAAACTAATATGTTTTTATATTGTAGCCAGTACATACCTAAGGTTACTGTGTATTTACTGCATACTTTGTGCTAATAGCGCATGCTTTTTGCCCGAAACAAGTCGGTGACCCGAATCGTTTCATGTATGCCAAAAAGGTTGATGAAGTTTTATTCCGAGAGTTCAAAAATTGGTTTTTGTAACGTTTTTTTGTTATTCGTAATTATGTATTCAATTAGAGGTTTAACTGAAATTTATTATCTGCCATTGCAACAATTCGATTGGTAAACTTCACCATGTAAAGACATTTGACAACAAAAATATTATGTGTTTGTTGATCTCTGAAAGAGCCATTTTGGAGTTGAGTACTTTCAAAAGCACAGGGAATAATAACGCAAAAACAGGGATCCATTATGTCCTTTTAGTATCTTTTTCTGGTGCAATAGAAAAATAGCGCATATTGGTATACGCTTTCAGATTGTTGCGAATCATTACCTAAGCCGCATTGTGACTTCCAGAAAGTACGGATCTGGAAAAATAAAGTTATGGGATCGCGTCAATACCCTGAGGCAGAGTTTTCCTACCGGAGAGGAATTCCTCCTCGTGGAGGTATTTTGTTGTTTTCGTGGTGTAAATTCCACTCCTATTTGGGTGTAGCAATATTTATTTTTACTTATTTAATATTATTGTCACACATACTTATACACACATCATAAATCCATCATTCAAACTGAAGTGAGCCAGAGTGCGAGTTGCGCGAACTAATGATACATTATTGATTGAACAAATAATGGGAACAAAGTTTTTACGAATCGTAAGGTGAAATAAACATATATATATATATATATACAAGTTGGGAAGATGTAGGAATATATCGGAACGCTGCCCTACGAGAAATGGTCACATCTGGCAGTTGTGCAATATACTACTTCGCAAAAAATATTCGTTCTCAACTCATTTGTAATCATTTATTCTTCACTTTTGGCTCATATTCAACTACGCTACGAAGTTTCATCTACTTTGACTAGTACTTTCCAAAAGCATTCAACGACTACGTAAAATTTAAATGTGGACATGCGTGTAGAGTTTCCTGGTGATAGCACAAATTAACTAACCTACTTCGAGCCCTTGCGCTAGATTGAGTTGCACTTCCTGTTGGAGATAGATGTCACTGCCGATAGTGATTAATCACTGACTATGCATGACCGGGAATACGGCTCTAGGAAACTAGAGACACATTTTAACATAACTAAAAAACAGGCATCGTCCTATACTCAAAACGGCTTCTAACAAAATGCAGTAAAAAGAATGCCCTCTATTGTTGTTTAGCAATAATCCGTTAATACAACACGAAGTACAATAGCGTATTTACTATGTTAAGTAAACAATGGAGTATTGAATGTATTCGACTTCAACAGAAATGACAATGACTGCAGAAGAAGACTCAGTAGAGCTTAATCACCAAATCGCCAATTGACATACGTAAACAGATAACAGTGAGTGAACTAGAAATGAAACTAGACCAATTAAAAGGTAACGAAACGAAACGAAAAAACATGATTGAATTCAGTAAACAAATTCAAACATTCACGGATTGCAATAATGTAATGTCAAATATTATCAAACTTTATCGCCCAAAATTTAACTTAGTCTGGTAGGTACACGAACAGCAATGGGTTGAGAGCTCACAGTCGACCGGGTTTGTCTGCTGGAGGGGCAAATTCCAAAAGTTCTGAACAACACCGCCCATTATAATATTGGTCGTAAAATGATTGTCCGAAGAAGTCTGACCTCGGTCAGACGAAACGTTACAGAAATATATCTGTGTAAATGTGCAGCAAGACTCTTGAATTGAATAGAATAGTTATTTTCACTCTTGCTATAGCATTCTTGCGTTATACGCATACGGATCCATCTGCGCAAAGGCATAGATCAAGGAAAGGTAGTTAGTTTCACGTAACCCCAACTGTTAGTTTATAATATTAGTAATATCTAATATGAGCACAACGGTGAAGCATATCGCCGGTTGGAAAACAGTTCGGACTGGAATCATATCATTCGCCACTTCCCGTTAAAAAATGATTGATCGGAAATCCGAATGATAGCGAATGATTTCTCACTATTCATTACGTGACAGTTTATTTACAATACTTAAACATGCGACTATAAGAAATCAAAAACATAGCTTAACACATACACAAGAAACACAAGTTAAAGACATCTAAATTAGATAGTCCGCGCATAGCGACGTTTAAACGAACTGCCGTTCTATATTCGACCGGCTTCTGACAAGATGTAGTCGACCATCGATAATCAGGGATTAAAATCGCAAAGATTGAAAATGTAAAACTGTATAAAGTATTGCCAACAGAAAATGTAACAGTATATATGTATGTTTATTCGCCTGGTAAAAAACAAAACAAAGGTGTTGCCAATTATCAATATATATTGAAGACAATACTGACCTAAAACCAAATGTACGGCTGCACCCCTTTTTATAAGTGTTAAAAATAAAAACGTTAAGCCACATACTTATACAAGCCACCCTTTACAGACAGTTGTGAAGAGGGAAGGCGATGGGTGAGTGTAGGAACGGGGGTAAGGGTGGAGTATACAAAACTGTTTGTGCTAAAGAGTTTGTACGACAAGACAACATCTATAAATGGAGACACTACAACACGCAATACACTGCATGTATACTTAATAATAAAATGAAAATTTGAACGTAAATACAGCACTCTTGGGTGATGACACCATATACTCTGAATGAGGAAAATAGTTAAGTTTAAAAGGGAGATGTGTGATTTGTTACGCTTTAGTAGACTATGGCTATTCTAGCAAAAATGTGACCGTACAAGTTTTGGAATTAGAACCGTACAATAGAATTAGAATGATCAGCTAATTATTTGGATGTATTCAAATTGTTGGCTATTTTCGTAATAGTACCAAAAGGCGACCTTGTTTATGATCGAACTAGGTTTGTGTGGTGTTTCCAAGACAATTTCTCATCGATTATTACATACCCAAAAAGCGACTCGCGTTAATCTCACTCTATATTTGTTCTATCCAATTTCAGATTTTATTGCGATGTTGGACACTTTTGCTTTGGTACGCATAATACCATATATTTGGTTTTATTCATAATACTAGTAACTTTGTTTGCAGACAATCAAGATTGAATATGTTTGAACTCACTATGGGCTTTGGTCAAAAGCTCGGGCAAGTGTATTCCCCGAAGATATGCCGTAACGTCATCGGCAAAAAGTATGTATCAGAGTGAAGAAAAGAATTCGGAAAGTCGTTAGCAATAATTAAAAAACATAATGGAGCCAACATTCAGTCAGATTAGAGTATGTTCTATAGATGCCACATTATTATATAATAATGCTTGTTTCCTCCTGATTAGTAGCTTCTGTACCAGTTATAGCTCAGACCACTTAACGCTAATATGGTTTAATTGTTGATCTCATTTTTATCCAATCCTTCTAAAATTTTACTGACAAGTATAGATGTTTCACAACATGTAGAATGATTTTGGCAAAAAAAAATTGCTGAAAATGAAAAAAAAATTGATATAAGAGTCTTTTGTGCATAATTTTTTATAGAACTTCGGAAAATGCGGGAAGTAAGCTGATTGGTTGGTGGTTTTCTACAGTCTTTGCATTTCCGTTTTTGAACAATGGAATAACTTTGGATAATTTGAACTGGTTTATGTGTATACCAACCAAATTGTAAGGAGCAGTTAAATATACGCGAATAAGCACAAATACAGTTCCAGGGCATCATTCGTATAAGGAAATTCCATCTATTCCATATTCAATCCATTCCGTACATTGCTTGACGTTATCTCTTATGGTATGACAGAACCATTCGATCATTTTATCTCCAATGAAAAAAGTGCAATTTAAAGTGATCGGCTATTTTGACAAGATCAGAGGTTTTCTGGTCATAGAAAATGCCTTTGTTAGATTCAGTTCAGAACGACCAAGCAGATCGTTCATAGTACACTAAGTTTTCTCAATATCATTACGATGTTTACCTAGTCTTAGTATGACTTGCAGTAATTTTGTTTGTATTTTCACAGCTATGCGTTTCTTATATTTTTTTCCTGCATTCTGAATATTTGTATTCACTGATTTTTTCATTAAGATAATTTTGGTGTAGTTTATGTTTTTTTCTGCATTTTCAAAAGTTTTTTGTCGAACTATTCATTGACATTTTTAGTATTTATTTTCTTCAGGCGTTAAGATCTACACGTTAAACTTGTGCGCATTTTTAACTTTAGAAACGACGGCGTGTCACCTCTTTCATGAAGCAGCAAGTTTTTACGGTAACCGCCATTAATGTCAGTATTCAGATACAGATATTCTCTTCTTATATTATTCAGTAGTTTTCTTGTTATTTCAATCAATGTACATGTAGAGTATGTTTGATTCATGTACAGCAGTGGTTCTCAACCTGTGGTACGCGAGCAGATTTGAATTATTGCAACAATTAACCTTTGGGTTGGCTAAAATATGCCGGCAACGCTTTATCTTCCTTACTGTATGTATTCGCTGAACAGCGTTTACGAATATTTCCCCAAGCATTCAGTTTCCTTGTAACTATACCCATGGAGTCAATAATGACGCAACACGTAACAATTGCAATTTCTGCACCCAGCTCTCAGACACTTTTGTCGCTCAAACAGATAGATATATTCAAGCATGGTTGCAAACATTGGCTGGTTTTTGTAGTTTTTAGAGATATTTGTCAGTTTTCAGTTGTGTTTCAAAAAATTAATTGTGCATTAATTAACTTAATTCTTCCGCGGAGCTTTACTTTAGTTGCAGTAATCAAAATTGAATCTCGCAAATTCTGCGATGTACAAGGCTAAACTTAGCTATATCAGTATCCGCAAACGGCACATGGTTGATTCATTTTAGTAAAAATGATGCTGTCCAGCACGTAAACCAGTTTATATGCGCCTACAATCAAAACACTCTCAGAATAAACATGTAGTTTCCAATAGTAAAGTATAGGGGTATTTTTTCCGGGGCCAATGGCCGGGGAAACGTCCACAGCTCTGGTGCGCTATTAGTTCTTGTTTTTAGAAATCGCCGTCGCCTGCTATTGCCCACCTTAAATGAAGCGATATGGGCATGTTTTTGTCCTTTTTGCCTGTTACGCCACAAAAGATGTAGTGCCACATCATAAAATACTTCCATAGCACGTTTCTTGTGTCTTTTTCTTCCCGCCAAAAAAGGAGCTTTGTCGGTGGTACGCGGCCATAGTAAAAAAGAGTAAAGTGGTACGCGGTCGGTAAAAGGTTGAGAACCACTGATGTACAGCAACTTGGGTGATCAGATTGTTGTGAAACCTCGAGCAGGGAGGTCTTCTCCAGCTGTAAGGGGTCGAATTATGAACATATGGAACAAAAATTGATATAAGCCTACTTTTATACGTATACCCACAGCATAGGTCTGTTATTGTTTACAGGTTTATAAGCACGGTTTTCACCAGCATACCGGTAGCATTATTGAATGTAACGGTAAATCTCGCTACAAAACACCGCTACAGTTCAGTATTTTTAAGAAACATCGCGAGTCGGGCTTATGCGCGTTAACGTTCGGATCAAGAGCTGGGGATCGCAGACGTCACCTATTTTTTCACCGGCGAATGCAGAAGCCGGAACAGGTCAAAGGTTATGGATGTCGTAATTGGTTCAGTAGTTGAAAAGAAAAACGAAATTTTCATAACAAAAAAAGGAAAAAGAACAATTCAAACAAGAATACCAATAAAAACACCATAATACTAAAACGATCCATGTGCACAGTTCATGGTTTCTGCTGCATGATCAGCACTGGTAATTGATAAAAAGCACAGTATTGTGCTTAGAGTCATGATGCGTAATATTTAGATACACTTTCTACTTGTGATACCTCAATAACAGGCAACATGTAGTTTTTGCACCAAATTCTTTCTTGGCGTTTTCTGTAGGACGGTAAGTATAATTTTGGCATAAATACTCAATTTTTCCAACATTTTGGAGTGAGTAGTAGTGAATTTTGTTTTCCATAAATTTAATTTCGAAAAAGTTTGCAAAACTTCTGGAAAGCATTTAAATTTCATAGTAATAGAACTCATTCTCATTTTTTCAAATTATTTCTCAGCTTCTTCTGTTAAATATCCGATCGTTATTTCTTATTCGCAAGTTCGTTTTCCTCCACCAATCCAAACAATGCTGAAAAAGTTCAAAAGCATGCTAAAGTAAAGAGCGATATATACTATTATTAAGATTTTAGGTGATTAACTTATGTTGTCAAAAAAACTTTTTTATGTCATTCACACTAATATACACGATTTAGTGCCTAATTGGGGTTTTAACATCCATCCGGGAAGCAACCATAGATTTTTTTAATTTTGTTGGTTAAAATAGATACTTACATCATTAAAATTAGTGGAATACATAATACGAGGCTTCCTACGATCCCACGAGAATCCATGTAAATATAGAGTGTTGCAGGATATATGTACAAAAAGAAAATTGATGAAAATATGCTGAATATACCCTCAATTCCTGAGAGAAATAGCAAGGCCGACCCTGAAATATAACCAGACATCATATTTTAGTGTTCAAGAAATAACAATACCTCAAATTCTACAATATTTGGAATTCAATACCATGATTGAAACACTTGGGGTAATTTTTTAAATCAGTCACCATAGAAAGATAGAAACTTGTATTTCGATGAAATTTTGCAAACCTGGGACTGTATCATTTAGTTTAAAGCATGTTTCTGTCATATTTTGAGGTATATATATACCATATTAGGTTCTTTTTCTTCTTTCTAAACTTCATGTACAATTTTTAGCATCTGAATGAACGTATAAACTAAAATATAACATTAACGTTCTGAAAACAAATTGTACCTATTTCTAACTGTACCGTTGTTCTGAGGAGGATACAAGCTTCGAAATCTGAGAGCGTATTATGAAATCTGGAAACGTAGAAAGGATTCCGAGACCCGTGGCTGAAAAGTTAAATATTTTGTCAGATGAATAATAGTATGTATTTTTCGGAAAATACTTGAAATTTGATTATAAAACTTTTCGAAATTTTCTATTTGGTTTTTATTGGTTGAGTAAAGTAACCGAGCATCCACGATGTTACGACTAAGTATATGCACTTCGCATATATATAGTATTATTTTTGACCATATATTGAGTATTCTCAACTTGCATATAATTGCATCCGGAGTATATATGAATATAGGTATATATTGCTTCAAATGTAATCAAACCGCACTCAACCGATACGCCACAATTCTGCTCATAAATAAACTTCACCTGAAAATACTAGAATAGGAGATTTAGCGAAGCCCATCATTAAAGTACTTGACAAACGAGTACAAATGGTGAGTAGTAAAATGCTCTGAGTCCTCAATCTCAGCACAGACTCATAAAATTTGATGATGAGCGGACAAATTATCACAAGACCGCTAGCAATACCCTGCGTAAAATAATTATTGTCAGTTTCAACTATAGTATTATACGTAAAAAGATCGATATGTCGAATAACATTATCGCAATTCGTTAAAACATGATATAAGATAAGAATGTAGCACTTTGATTTAAACATGGGAACATTTTAATACTAATTTGAAGTGTATTAATTTGTTCATACACTTATCATTCCTATAAAATATTTGGTATATTTCTTACACCGTTGAACCATTTACCTCCTGTTTTAAATTAAAATTTTGACAAACTGATTCAAAAACTTACAGTCTGAAGACCAATCAAATCAGATGTGAAGCAAATTGGATATGAAATTAGAAACAAAGTCTGAAACGCATCACCACCATTAACAACAAACGTATACCAAGCATAGCTAATAACGAAAAACCATAGACGCCACAATCTTCTTTTGTAAATACATCTCCCGCACGCCGAATCTAAAGAAAGATGGTGATATTTCATAGAACAAGAAAATTCCAATATCATTTGATGGTGAGTCAGGTCAATAATCAGAAGACTTGTAATGTAGTCAAATGTAAACTGAAATTAATTGTAAATTATTCATTACCTTCTATATTATAACAAATAATCTTTTCTGTTGTATATATTCTCCGGATCACTCTTATTTGCGAACACAATGATTTTGACGCGCTGACTGTGATTTCCTTGTAATGCAGTAATTCCTTCGAATCGTTACAATTGTTTTCAATCCTACGACATATTTGGGCCTGACTGGTTGTGTAAATAGGATTCGATTCATTGCGAGGATCTGGGTTGCAGATGACAGAATCATCAATGTACGGTAATACAGAATTTATATCGTCTTCAGTTGATGTCATCATGGGAATAAATGGAATTGATACTATCGCGCAACCAGTGATGAATATCGAACAAGGAATAAATCTTTGAGAATCGATCCAATATCCAGAAGCTATAAGTACTACACCTCCTCCAAAACTTGCACAAACCTCCAAAATGGTGAAGCTGAAGAATGTGATAGAAACGTAATCGCAAACTGTTAAGTTTGTTGTAGTTTCAAATAAGCAAGTAAATAAAGTAAGACTGTCGAGTAAAAGATTATCAACTTATCACAGCGTCAATATGACTGTATATCTTATTTTATGTCAGTAAAAATATAAAAGAAAAACTACAATCAGATATTCAAGAAAAAAAATCATACGAAAAGTAGCTATATTATTAATATTGAAATAATCGATAAGTGGTTTCAGCAACATCTTATTGTATCCTTCACCTAAAATATTTCGACGCCTTGCTATAAAGTGAAACGTCAGCCAATTGCTGTTATAAGCATTGGTTTAAAATAAAGTGGCACCACTGACGTGTCATTGCACAATAAATAGAAGAAAGTTATAAACTTTTGACTGAATAACCGTATGGTAATAAAATAAAATCACCGCCTGTTTCGATCTTCCTCGCGTGTTATGTCGCTTAAATATGCGGTACCAATATTTAAAAGTGCTACATATGAACCGGAAGCTCCGTAAATGAAACTGACAATAATCATCCAATATAAAGGCAGTCTGTAAAAATAAATATCAAGTTGGGATGGTTTTATTAGAAATCTTCATTTGAATGTATGTTTATGAAAAAATCAAATACTCCTATATTCTTTCATACCTGTAAATGATTGCCATTGTTTGTACCGCTGATGCAATTGCTGTTCCAAATATTGGAAATGAAATGGCGCTTTTTCGACCAATTTTGTCACTCCATGCTGTGACGATAAGAGAGGATACAGCACAAGGCACGAAAAAGGCCAAACAGGAATACATTGTCCATCTAGACAGCAAACAAAAATTCCAAAAGAAAGAGTAGTTATCAGAGAACGAATTGGTAAGTACTAATTAACTATCTATAAGTTCAATGTCGGTTCATTAAAAATTCCTAAACCTCGATACGCAAGTCAAGATAAGTCCTGGGCCAGTATAGTTATTTCTGAAGTTCAAATCACGAGTCAAAACCTTTTACACCCGAGTCACAGAATAAATCGTTTGTTTTACGAATCAAAAGTCGGGTCAGAAGATATTTTATATACAGCAGTGAAATTTAGGATCTTTACACTGACTTCCATCATTCGTTAAACCAACGTAATTTGAAAGTCGAATTAAGATTTAATGTTGTATTCTTAACATTTATTGCTGCTACATGATTAGTTTCATTTAAATTAAATCCATTTCATTCATTAAATCCTCTAAACACTGAAGCACATCGTTTATTGTCGAATCGCAACTGAATCTACAACCTTAGTGCTATAGTAGCGTAGAGTAATAATGGTAAAAAGATTTGTCTTGCCAACTCAAATTTGAACCCGACGCCAGACTGCCTATCTTCAGCTCGCAACGGTGAGCCATTCCATGGTAACGTGTAAGAAACACTCTCATCTACCTGGATGCGTCGTTGACAACCATTTCTTCTTCTATTGTTTCACTATTATTTTTGTCGCAATAATTGATAAAATTATCCTCAGTGTAGTTGTGTTGTTTCGATACAATCTGAAAAATCGAGTGTTAAAAATGGCGGGTCCGTTCGAGAATATCTGTACCAAATATAAGGCTGGAAAGTATTTTTAGACAACTTATGCAAGCGGTTTCTTTACAAGATATGAGTTTTCTAGGTGCATAACTATTCGGTTTATACTTACCATGTATACATATTGATTCTGTATAGATTGAAAACTGTAACCGCAAGCACTGGTAAAAAACACGATGGCTTCTACAGGATATGGAAAATTACATAACATCTGGATTGTATGTATAAAGGATTAAATTAAACACTAAGGTAACGAAGACAATGCATTTCTAGAATTGAGGTCATTTACCAAATCATTAATTACACAGCGTCCTAAATTATATCAAGCTTATTTTCGTTTAGGAGGAAGCATATTATGCTCATGTACGTTTCCTATATATTAATTGTTTACAGCAGTGTAGCCTACATGTGGATCGTTGCCAAATTGTTGTTGCTGTTGTTCATGGAAAAGTTCGCTTTCTTCGCAACTAATAGACCAATTTTAAATTTCCAGTAGAACCCTTTATATACGCTGGTTCAAATCGACTTTTTATACCCCTTTTATAATATGACATAAATAGTTAACCAAACATGATAGTACATTTCCCAATATATCTTTAAAAAGCTTATTTTCGCCGCTTCCCACTAAAACGCGCCCAAATTACGTTGCTCACGCGTTTAAAATACTTCGTTTTCAACTAACAACAGATTCTTTGTTTATTTTTAAGCTTTGAAATACTCGTACAAATAAAATTGACCTTGTAGCAAAATAAAAATTATACATAAAAAAATATGATGACATCACCGTAATTAAGAACACTCGGATCAAGCATGGATAATTTAAACTCAAACATTTTGAGTGTTGAAATTGGTTTTGTTCACATGCAGACCACTATGAAATGCTATTGACCCCCAAAAATACATTTAATTTAGCCATAATCCCAAATTATGACACAGATTAGCCATTTATGGATAGGCCGATCCTAAAGAGTAAGCCGCCGAAAGGCTATTCTTTTTATTTTATTTTTCTGTTAGTTACTCTGAAAACATTTTATTCCGCACCCCTGATCGTCGATCTTTTCAGCAAACTCGGTTCTCATTGATGAGCAACATCTGTATCAATGCGTGATATTGACGGGGCTTCTATTATTTGGGGCATAAAGTCTGAAGATTTTATTTCCGGCTGGTTATTTACGGAGAAGAAATGTCAGAATGCTGATGCTGATAACAGTGCCATTCAATATGTTTCGAATTCTATGGACATAAATCAGTAAATTGCATCGAACATTAATTATTAGCATGTCATAATGACTAACCGACTGTTGCAATTAAATAATTTTGATAAAAAGTGACCTTTGCTTTTAAATACCTTGTTTCAAAGAAACCCCTTCTTCCTGCAATAGTGCCTATACGCTTTCACATTGTCGAGAATTATCAACGAAGCCCATAGCGCTTCCCAGAAAGCCATGATCACACAGCTGATATAAAGCTACAGCGGGTAAAGCTAATCGGTTCAATATTTTAAAGGGAGTAGTTACCTCTGGCTGGTATGCATTACACTCGAACCTCCTCCAAGAAAATCGAAAAACATGTATTCCCATATAATTTATATTCAATCACCTATCTCTTCACTTCTGACTCGTCTTAGATTTAACTACGCTGCAAAGTTTCTTCTATATTGAATAATTAGCATTATAGAAGCATTCAACGACAACATAACCTATAGATATATACGCGTATGCGATACGGGAAGAGTTTCCTGATTACGACACAAATTGATGACAACGTATTAAATTTCGTCCTAGTTGCAGACAAGTATTCGTGCTACTTGCGTTCCAATCACACACGAGACTTTCCTGCGTCGATATCCAATGATCATTCGTTATTTTTAATATGAAGGTTTATTTCATTACAACAAAATTAGGAAGTTTTAATATAGTCAAGTTTAAACGAACTAACCGTCCCATATTCTAAACCAGTGGTCGGCAACCTTCATGCATTACCGGGGCAAATAAACATATCCCAAGTAGCGCGCGGGCCGCATTTTTTCCACCCATAAACAATGTGAAGGATGATGTTTTGCTGTGTGATTGCGAAAGCGGTAAAATCAATTCGCAGTATGTTGTTCAATGACTATCTGACAAGCGAGTACGGAGTTTGTTCTTAGTGTAATTCATTTTGGATGAATCTGCTCACAGCAATACATTCCTTCAAACATTCACATTATACCTTTTGCATTGTCATACAATTAAGGATATGTAGATTTCTGGAAAATTCTATATTACAGTTGATAATTGGAACTGAATCTAATTTGACCGGCTTTTTATGTTACCTAGCCGTTTAATGAGAAATTTTAAAAATTAAAATAAAAAGAACTGATAATTACAACTAGCGGTAGGCACATTTGGCAAGTAAACAACATACAACTAACACGATTTTTAGCTTACGCTTACTTACTGCAAAATAAACGATGTCAGCAACAATGCACTTGTTTACCGATAATTAGCGATTACAACACAAAGAACAATAACGTAATAACCATGTGATGCAAACAAAAAAGTACGAAAAATAATAACAAAAAAAAATTAAGATTAATTATCATAACGTTCTCCTCGACTATATTTGGTAGCACCGACTTTCAGTGTATGATAGGCCTATTATATGTAAGAACAGAAGAGTACGATTTGCAATATTATCCGGTTAAAACATTAGGCTTCGAATTTCAAAATGGCCTGCCGGGTGATTTTGTTGTGATTTTTCGGTGTATTTCATACGGAGACGAGCTACGTTGCGTCAGATACACTCACAATTCCATTCGAAGCTATCAGATAGTGAATTCAATTATGATCTTATCCCACCGATGATGAGTGTTCTGTGTTAACCCTTCTTTTGTCTACAATCCATATGGTCCTTGAAATAAAATTAAATTGTATTATTCATTTACTACAAAAAGTTATATTACTATGTAAATTTTATTCCCTCCAGACTTTATTGTACTTACATCATCAGAACAAGAGGAATGCACAATATTAATGTTTCTATAATCCACGCGAAACCATGAGATATATACAGTGTTGCAGGATAAATATGTAGAAAGACAATCGGAGAAAATATGTTGAATAAACTTTCAATTCCCGAGACAAGCGCGAGTGCTGATCCTGTAATAGAAAATGGTACATTCAAAACAAAAAAAGGTTTAGTGTAAATCAAATTTCAATATTTCAAATCCTATGGAATGGGGAGCTCTAAACCTAGTTGTAACTAAATGCCGCTGGTCAAGTATCAGATATGGCATACCTTGTTCTGAGGAAGACACAAGAAGAGATATTTGTGAGCGTATAATAGGAGTTGATAAATTGAAAATTATCCCGAAGCTAGTTGCTGAAAACAATAAAAAAACGAAATGAGTAAAAAGAATCATTTTTCGTTAACAAATGGTTACAAGCAACAATATAATAATCATTAGAACAAACAATGCACTGTTAAATTGATAATCAGAATGTGAACGCAGTTTGAACAATCCCATTATGACACTGTATGCATTATAGGCGATTACAATGATCGCTGAAAGCCTGCAATCAACCCATATAGGTTACCATATATGTCGACGGGACAGCTATTTAATGTGAAAAGATGGAAATATATTTAGTGAATGTAAAAAAATATTACTATTAAAACTATTAGTCTACCTGCAAAGACAAGAGGAGGGCCTTCCGCAAAACTCATCATGAGAGCACTAGATAAACGGGTAAAGATTGCCGTCAGCAAAATAGTTTGGCTACTTAGATGCAATAAAGATTTACATAAGTACAGAACAATAGGATCCAGCGCTACAAGTCCATTTTCAAGTCCCTGTAAAAATATTAAACTTAAACAATGTCAAAGTTCAACCAATCATGGCACATTTACTCTTCAAACGATTGGTATTCAAACACGCCATTTACAGTGTACACTTTGAATCGTATAAATTAATACTTCAGACAGCTTACGTTCTGAAGTCCAACCAGTCCGGGAGTGAAACAAACTGGAAACGATACGAAAAACATCGTTCGAAACGATTCTCCACCATTGACTGCAAACATATACATTGCGTATGATACAACAAAGAACCATATTCGCCACAATCTCTCTCTACGAACATTGTCGCCATGAAAACAAATTTGTCGTTGACTTACTTGTCCTATGATTGGAAAAAAATGCTTCAATTTGAGCCCAAAAGACGCTTGCAATTAAACACTAGATAAAAATCTTTAAAATAGTTGATTTTACGTAGATAATATTATTTGAACTAGACAAAATAGTTTGTTTGACAAAATAGTTACACGAGACTTTGAACACACAATTGAGTCATATTTGGTATCGGTACTTAAAAATATTCACCTGATTGACAAATATTGCACACAATCTGTCTCGTTGTATATATTTTCCAGACGACTTTAATTTGTGAAAAGAAGTCAAATTTGGTGTTTTTGTCGTTTGTTAAACTGTTTTTAACTTCTGTGTTCCCATCGTCTGCATTCGCCGCAAGAAACTTTGAAGAGCAATCAAAGAATTCGTCTTTATCGGTCTCATTCTGCGACCGCGGTAGCAACGGATCTGTTTCTGAATGAGTCTCTGTGTTGACAGGTTCTTCATGTCTTTTTCGGCGATTAAATGGTGACATCATTGGTATAAATATTATCGCAATCATTGCACATCCAGTGATAAAAAATGAACTTGAAATGAATCCACCTGAATCGATCCAATAACCAGTAGCAATCTGAATGGCTCCTCCTCCGAGAGAAGCAGCAACATCGAGAATCGTGAATCTGCAATTCATTTTCTTAACCTTGGCACTAGCTTCAGAGTTTATAAATGCAAATACGGCCACTTTATTGATGCAGGTTTGCACAACTTAAATGAGGACACGTGCCAAAATTTTCAAAATAGTCTTGTCACAAGCCATGCACAATAGTTGGTATGGACCTTTCCCCGACCTCTGACCCCCGTAAAATTCTTCCTATACGTTCCCATTGCAAAACTTTCGGTGCTTATTTTAAGAGTGGTTACGCGAGTTGGCGCCTGTAAAATTGGATATTTGTTTCAAGCCATCATTCTGATACATAGCACTCCAAATCTGTTTTTTAAAAATACCGGCGGATAATTTTAGCCTAGTCTAGATTTCTGCAATTAAACTGAAACTCCTAAGAAGACGAAGTGATCATTGAATTATTTGATGTATATTTACATATCCGAAACTCAACCGAAAACTAACGAATAAAATTCGAAAACGCGAAAACGAAGTAATGTTTACGACTCTGTCTGAGCGAGAAAAGTTGCTGAGCGGAAGCGATGTTACGTCACTTTTTGCATCTTGCTGATTGGCCAATGTCACGAAGTCAACAAGGAAGTCGATGCTCGCGGAAACAACCTTTGGATATGAACAACCGTAATAACCCATCAAACAAATTTCAATAATAATACATAATAAGAAATATCTATTTATTGAAACAATTTCCTGAAAAACTGCTGATTTTGATATAAACGTGATATTTTAATGTATATCATAAATTTTTTTTTTTTTTTCAAAACCGTTCGCGTGTCACGTTTGAGCGTATGGCGTGCCAAATTTGGCACGCGTGCCCCGTGTTGTGCACCCCTGCATTAATGTAATACTTTTCTAGTAATTGTTTGATGTACCCAAGCTTGTGCATTTCAACTTTTTCAGCGTGTAGCTAGTAAGCCGCAAATATCTAACAGTAATCCGTGTCAATAAAAAGTGGCAACTGACATTACCGATATCTATCTCACCTTCTGTCGCGATGTTCTGCTTCAATGTTATCGCTAAGATACGCTGCTCCAATATTAAGCAACGCTCCATATGCGCCTGAAGTTCCATAAATAAGATTCACTACAACAATCCAGTAAAGAGGTAATCTGTAATATTAAAAATATGCAGAATAGACCTATAAGGGAAGGTACACCGTTGGCTCTTATCATGATTGTCCTGGAGCTTTATTTTATGTTTTCACATAAATTTAATTCCTAACATCTTGTTCACACCAGCAATTTGCAATGATTAAGCGTCTATTAAACACAATTACTGTAAATTCCACTCACCTGTAAATGATTATTACTGTTTGCGCTGCGGATGCGATCACAGTACCAAATACAGGAAATGCAATTGCTATTTTTCTTCCAATTTTGTCGCTCCATGAAGTAATAAGAACTGAGAATAGGGCGCAAGTCAAGTAGTAAGCAACATTTGCATACATGGACCATCTGTGCAAAATATCAATGGATCGTATAATTTAAAAGTTGATGAAGGAAATTGATACTTGATACAAATAAATTGACTTTTGCCGCATTGCACAATTCTTATGCTACATCGGATGGGTCTACAGGTCTACAACCCTAAAAAGAGTTTACCGTATTTAATAATTGCTATTTCAAAAAATATAAGGAAATAGAAATAATATCGATAACAATGAATTTTATTTCATATTTGTTCTTTTTATCGCCATGTATCATATCTACCTGGATACTTCATCTGCTACAATATGTTCTCTTGCTGAAGTAGATTGATTTACTGTGCAATATTCGACCGAGCTATTTGCAGTGTAATTGTGTTGTTCCGATACAACCTGAACATACGAGAATCGTGTATTTAATTCAAGAAAGAAATTTTGAAGAAGCACCGAATACGATTTATTTTTTCACATTCACGATCACCCTATATTGCAACTCAATGGCGCTCACATGCTTGATTTAAACCGGGACTTTATGTTTCAAGCGTTTGCATACATTTTATACACAAAAACAGTATTTTTGGTTGAAATGCGAATTTAGTTTTACCATACAACCAGAGTTGTCTTGTTTATTATACCCTTGTTTTTATATCCCATCACAAAAAAATTAATAAAGCTAAACACTGACATAAAACCAACATAAAAACAAAAACGTAGTAAATACTTTGAAAATATAGCTGAGTAATTTGGTTTGTTTACCTGATATATGTATTCATATTGAATAGTCTCGTATGAATAATTACAACTACAGGTGAAGAATATTATAGCTTCAACAGCGAACGGAAATTTGAATGTCATTGTAAACTCGTAGTATGATGAAGTTTTACAGACATTATTCTGAAAACAACTTCACCTGATACCCTTCATGAAATATCAATGAAAAAGTAATTAAAGTTTCACTATGCAGCTCAATAAAATTTCAGTAAAAGAAAAACTACTTTTGATTGGATATATTATGTTCCTCGCTACAGCAAAAATTAGGCACAGAATAACCTCGAATTAGGATAATAATACCGAGTAGTTGCTTGGTAATCGCGTGAAAAGCTTCGACTCAACTGCATTTCATATTTCCAATGCTTCTAGACTAGATCAAGGATCAGGGGTGAGCAATGTTTTTGAAATATCAATGAAAAAGTAATTAAAGTTTCACTATGCAGCTCAATAAAATTTCAGTAAAAGAAAAACTACTTTTGATTGGATATATTATGTTCCTCGCTACAGCAAAAATTAGGCACAGAATAACCTCGAATTAGGATAATAATACCGAGTAGTTGCTTGGTAATCGCGTGAAAAGCTTCGACTCAACTGCATTTCATATTTCCAATGCTTCTAGACTAGATCAAGGATCAGGGGTGAGCAATGTTTTTGTACCAACAATTTTGCCCACTTGGACTGGCGGGCCATGTAAGCATGACGTAAAAATAAAACATTTTATGAACAGAATTTTATTTGCAGTGTTACAAAAGCAAAAGTGGAAAACAATTAGCCTCGTGCCAAAACTAAATTCAGTCGTATCTCAACAAATTCCTTGGAATATTTTTAGCTAAAACATCAAAATTTGGTTTTACTTTAGTTGTGGCAGCATCAGGCGGGACAGAATAAAATACCCAAGGGGTCGGATTAGGCCCTCGGGCCATAGTTTGCTCATGTCAGCTCTAGATCTATATCTTACCTCGACCACAAATATGCTTGAATAAAATTAAGATAATATATTTGAACAGAACAACATGGCAAACCCTAGAAATAGTCTCGATCTTGCTAATATTCAATTGCAAAATAAAATCTCATCCATCTAAAGACAATTCCTAATCTGCTCGTTTCAAATCATACCTTGGGTACTACGTGAACATTCATGCTTCAATCTTGTCACATATTTTAAAACTGCAGGATATGTGTAATCAATTAAAAAACGTTATGTATCAAGCGTTTTAATATTTGTCCATATATATATATAAATGTTTTTGACCATTCTGTCAACATAATGGTCAGTATTTCTTGTAATATGAATTATATACTTATCATAGAACGATAGTAGTTTTAATATACAGATAGGTAAAAAGAATAGTTTAACACTACTTTCAACAAACTGTGCCAAGTTGTTGCATGCCTTCTCTTGCTTCTAACTGCGATCGCTTATTAGTGAATATTCAATAATCGTCGGAATAAATAACTGGAATAATCGTTTTATTGTCATATATGAATTACATGTTTCCCCGATATATAGGTCGACATTTCGAATTTAGTAGCCAGGTAAATAGTACTGCTTATTTAACTTAAGCCCTGCATTCATCAATATAGGTATACAAACGTTCCGGATGTATTCGTACTGTAGAATTTACCTAGCAATTCTCCACTAAAGACATTTTGACTATTGATACAATGAATGACTTTCTACAGCAGACAAACCGCTCCAAATATGTAATTAAGAATGATATAATATTCGCACATTCAAAAACGAGTTAATCGTATGCAATGACATAATCGGATAAGGCGAAAGTCGACATTTTTGCATTTTACAATAAGGCTTTTAAATACCAGATTACCCTCAACTAGAGTAAACATCAGAGTTGTGTAAACATGAAAATAATCATATCTTCATACAGCATACTCGCAGCGAACTATACTGTGAGGTGGCTGATCAAGAGTCAATATTCAGTGCTGACTCAACGAGCTACCCTATTGCTTCCCAACAGGTTTGTTATTTGTGTCGCGGTAATGAGAAATGGACAATAGCATACTTCAACAACGAGGTAGTATCTGCAGTATTTAACCGAGGTCCTCGTGTTAGTTCAATGGCGCTAATCACAATGTACAAAAAGCTAAAATCATATTTTTGAAAATCTGTCCAATAAACGCTTGTACGATCTTTAACCGTAAATCGGTATGCTTATATTATTATATTATTATACAGCATTTCAATTTAGCTTATCCCATCTTTCTCGCTATATTTCACTGTTTGCAAACACAAATGCCATTGCCATCACATGTATCCAGTATCTGCTATCACTGCTATGTACTTTACGACACTGTTGTACGACAAACGCATTGAACTGTGCAAATAAGTCACTGGTCAGCAGCATAACGAGTCAGGAGTTGGACAATTTCTGATGGTTTCGATCGACCAATCGATCATTTGGTCGTCAACGTCAAGTTGTAGGTTATTGGACACGTAAGTGGACATAACGATCGTTTCAATATTAAAGTTGTTGTTGTTTTTCGTCATCATTATCATTAAAAAATCGCTTTTCTCTTCGAATACTGGACCAATTGCATAGAAATTTTCAGTGGGGAAAGATGGAATTTTTCTCCAGAAGGTTATTACTTTTATTTTCTTTCAAACTATCTGTGAATCCTATGAGATTTAATATTTTATGAAACATTTCGTGTATTACTTTTCAATCATGGAAACACGATTTTTAATCCGTCAAGCGTGACGGCCAATTCTGGAAATTCTTGCTCAAAAACTCGGAAGATTTTAGAGGTTACCGGTCCGGTATGTGTAATGTTGTGAACTACTGCTTCGCTTGGTGTTCATATATTTGTAGACTGCGATATTTACTGTTGGGATACCGTAGTAACTCGAATCAGTTGGTATTTCAATTCACGTTGAAACGGAATCGTCACAGAACCCGGAAAATCCGTGTACCTGTAACAGTGCCGTTTTGCCGATAGGTATGGAAGCCCAAACAGCTCTTGAAAGCGGGGCTTGCAGTCACAGTTATAATCAATTTATTTTAATATGGGCATAGTCTCTCGAAAGCGGGGCCTACAGTCACAGATATAATTATTGTATTTTATTATGGGGACTTTTTTGGAAATAGGTGAACTGTGTCGTACTGGGTACGGGTACTATGGTAGTAGTCAGTTTCACTGCTCATCTTCGTGTAGGATACCCTATGGATTTCGGTGAAGTGATGATAAATTATCCTACGTGTCCATATATTTGAGCATAGCTCTCTTGTTGTAACTTTATGATTAAAATTTTATTGCAACACTGTTAGCAGGAATATGGGCCCAAAAAAGGACTCAGACTTCTAATGTACGAGCGATAATGCATCACGTATTCCCTGTTTTGCTAAATTCGCGATTAAAGGGATCTTGTTTTCGTTCCCACGATAGCCTGCAATATTATGTTATTTGCTTGTTTAAGCAAAATCAATTAATTAAGTTCCGGTATCTCTGAGTTCTGTTTGTCCGTTTACGTTTTGTGTTGTTTTGATTTAGGCTCTCTGTCAGAAAACACAAATAAAATGATTGATGAATGATTAGTGTTGCATCGGACGAAGCCTCACGCTGAAACCACAGCTAAAACAGTAATTTTGTTCATGATAATGGTTTTGAAACCTGGGTCCGCCACCAGTACTATCCACTCTCTCCAACTTAATTCAGGAAATTTGTGGTTCGGCATAGCTTGTCTCATATTCATAAACGCGGGACGGTCTATCTATTTAATCATTGTGCGAAGATACGAAACTCGGCATCCACGGAACTAACGTCTTCTAAATATTTTTTAGAATTGAAATTGATTAACTTTTCAAAAATTACTGAAAAGCCAAATGTTTAATAGTCAGTCCGTCAGTAATTTATTTTTTCCCATGCCGAAGTACACAAAGTACATACATAATTTAAGAAAGAAATAAACATTTCAACGTGAATTACTTAAAATATAATTGTTTTGTATTCGTGTACATATATCAGGGATCTTTCTGTCGCACATGCAGGACATCAGGTGTTAAAATTTAATGTTTTCTTTTTCATTCTGCAACTCGTCACGAATTGTACCGTGGTGGTCATTGAGGTGAGTATAAAGGTATATTCAATCTGTATCAATGAACCGGTTCCGGTTTTGATTTTAGTTTTGGTCGTACCGCTTGACACAATTACCAAATCGAGAGCAACATCTAGTCCCGAGTAAATGAGAATAATCAAATAGACCTCAATACTGCAAAATTTAAGAAGTGACCCGATATTGATCACCTGGCCGATAAATCAAAATTGCGCACCTTATGGCGGTTCAGCTTTCGCGTTTCGTGAAGACTGTCGAACTTGACAGATTGCATCTTCTTATTATTTCGTTTTGGCATTCATGTCCATATATTGAGCATCCTCCTCTTGTTGAACACGAAGTGTACATAAGGATGTTTGGATATAATGTTGTTGATGATCATCTTATTAGTATTCCCTTCTTCTTGTGAAAATAAATCGTTTTTCTCTTTATCTACTGCACCAATTGCTTTCCAATTTTTGGTTATTAAAGATTGTGGTTGTCGCTTGAAGTTAATTTCTATTAATTCGAGATTTGATCTTTCATCTCAAATTTTGCTGTAAAGTTTTTAATCCGCCAAACGTGACGGATGTCTTGCGTTTTGATTTTGCAAAATCTTGCAAATAACGAGAAAGTGGGAAGTTCTTTAACCCGTTGACGCACTGCAGGTAGGTACAGTACGGTAAGTTACTGTAAAATGTAAGGTAATGTAAATGATTGAATGCTACAGTTGTGAGTTGAAATATTTATAATTTTAATTCACGTTGGTACAATGCTCATGAATCATCATTGTTACAGGACTTGGTAGAGCTAGGGGGAAATTGTGAGTAAAATATATCGTTTTGGCTTTCGTGTCCATATATTTGAGCATTGCTCTCTTGTTATGTTGTTGCTCTTCTTGTTGGTATTTTTCTTCTTCTTCATTTTTTATTTATTTCTAAATTTCCTATGAAACCTATGAGATGTGATTATTCAAAATTTTGCTGTATTATTTCTAATTCATGGGAGGACGGTTATCAATCCGCCAAGCGTAACAACAGCTGTTTTTCGTTTTGAACTTGCGAACTCGTGCTACACGAAAGTCGGTAGTTGATCGTTATTGGTGACGCACTAGAGACTAGGTACGTTAATTAATTTACTGTAAAAAGTAAGGTACTGTGAAGGATTTGATCTATAATTGTATTTGAGTCGTATTATTTGGTATTTTAATTGACGTTGACACTATACTCATGATTTATCATCGTCACAGAACCTGGTAACGTTAGATCAGTCCGGGTACCGGTATTAGTGAGATACGATGGTCTATAGATTCGAATTCGTCTAGAATATGATTTGTGGGGAAGTTGTGGGTGAAATCTCGTGCCCATATATTTGATCAATGTCTCTTGTTTTAAAGGACATTCGTTTCGGTCCTAGATTATACACGAGAAACAATATATGACAATTTGTAAATTTTATATTAATAAATAAAAATAGTATTGATAGAACAAAGCATAAACTTATATTCCATCACATATAACAAAATAACATTCAAGTTTCAAAAATAATACACACGGAATAGACACAAAAGTTTATGGCAATATAAATTGGCCACTCTTCAAATAGGATTTTTTAAATAATGCCGATTGTACTTGTTTTTGAAACTTTTTGAGTTCAGCCAATCTAGATTCAATAGTTAGCTCATTATCATCCAAATTTAACTCTTTGTATTTACAGTTTATGAGTTGGGTAATTGGACAAGTTGACAGAAATCCGTCTTCCTCAGTTAAAATTGAATTACTCAAATTTGGAATGAATTTTTCACACGTCTTTCTGGAATGCAAACCAGAAATACAATCGAGACAATGGATGTTACATCCTGGTCTGTTTTGATGGTTTTTAACTTGTTTTCGAAGTTTCATTGCTCGTATGACGTCCTTAACTATGTAATGTTTAAGATGCAGCAATGTTTGAGATCCGATTCGGATTTTTCGTTCGTAATCTTCCTCGATTTGACGGAGAATTTTTCTACATTCTTTGTTTTGTTTTTGTTCCAGTTCCATTCTAATTTGAAGATCAGCTAACGACGCCTTGAGATGATTCTTTAAAACATTGTTCTTTTTTGTTGATTTCGAACTAAACTTTGATCGAATGACGTTTCGAAAAAAACGAAACGGATTTTTTGTTTTGATCCGGGATTTCTCTAAAGATTTTATCCTTTCAACGAGTGTGTTTTTTTCGTCTTCTAATTCTATCAAGTTCTGAAAAATATATATTTTCAAGTATTGATGCAAAGTGTTTTCAGTATTTGCCAGTTTCGAAAGACATTTTTATGAGTGGGTATATACATTACAACAATTCCACGCGGGGTTACCAAAATAGATTTCTTGTCAGTAATTCCTGATTAATGTATGCTATTTAGATATATATATAAGTGATAGAACGACTGAACCCGTGGATATTTCAGTTCAATTAATTTCTACGTCATTTTGTTCGGATCAATAATACACATTTGGTATCAAATGAACAAACCAAAACGAATCCTCAAGAAACAGGTTAAATGCGTTCGCATACAATTTATTCAATGAAAGATTTTATTTGTGAATTGTGTTTCTAAAATATTCTATTCTGTGTTGGAATACGTGAAAAAAGTGAAAAATTTCAAAGCAGTGATTATTGTGGATTTTTCTCACCTCATACGAGTCAACTTCGTATTTGAAAATAAATTCTCTTCGTTGTTTTTCATCCATTCGTGATAAATTATGACGGAGAGCTTCAAGATTGTGCTTCAGATCAGATCCATTGTTTTTCTGCATTAACAATCAATGAGAAATAACTTATATGTACTACAACGTTTGTATCATGAAAGACATACCGAAGCTGAACTAAAATCTGTTATGTTATAAAATGTATCATATAAATAATCTATTTTGTTATTCAAGCCTTGTAAAAATCTAAATATTTTTTAAATGAAACCTGAATGTGTGTCATTCCCTTCTAAAATTTTATTTGGCTTGCGAAAATTTTTTAAATATTGATACGAGTAACCAACGTCCAAATAACATGAACGAGGCAGATTAGATCAATGTTCCAAATAATTTTTATGAAACTAGTATATATTATGAGATATTTTCAGGAGCTAATCCATCTATTTCTGAGGTTTGCAGTAAAATAATCTCGCGACAAATTTGACAATAAATCCCATTTTAATACTTACGTTACTGACTATAGTTTCCTCCTTTTTTGAATACACTTTCTCTTGCTGCATTTTCCTCACAATACTGGATGTGCAAGAATTTTGGTCAAACTCTTCCAATTTTTCATTTGACGTAAGTTTTGTCTTGTTGATACTGTCACAATTATCCTGGTTTCGAGGAGATGTATTTTTTTCTGCTGTCGATAAATCTACATCAGCACTTGATGATAATTTGCTCCTCGCTGACCGAGAATCTGTCTCGGAATATTCCGAGGAACTGTCTCTTCTGACGCTGGGTATTTTGATTTTTAATGCTTTGCAAACTTGCGAATTAGGCATAGGGAGATATTTCCCATTTTGAATTTGCTTGAATTTTCTTCCCGATAGAGGGAGGAAAATACCCGAACTTACGAACGGCATACGTTGAGGGCATTCAAACGATATTTCTTCCAAACTCGATTCTTCAATTTTTGAATTATAAGATCTGATTGATATGGAAGACGGGAATGAATCATCACTATATACAATGCTTCCGTATGACGTTCCATCATAGACACAATCGTTTTGTTTAGATATTTGTTGTTTCAAATATTCCGGGAGAGTTGTTGGCCTTTCAAATGACGAAGAAGAAGCTACACGACGGTAATTATCTTCATATTTATAAAAGTTATCAGAATCGTTTCCGCTTTCAGTCCATTCAAGATTTGATGGTAAATCACAATCTGAAGTATTTTGAGAATCAAAACTTGATGTATCAGAATGATACATATCCGAATCACATCGGCTAGAATTTGTTTCATGTGATTGTTCTGGCACACTCGAAACTTCGCCAATCCCAAAATTCTTCATATTTTCATCAGTAGGTTCGAGCACATTCAAATTTTCAATAACTTTGTCTTCTGGTTGTTGACCGAAAAGACTTTCTAATCCTAAATTTTCATCTGGCTGATCCCCAGAAGAATTTTGAAACGCATTTGTTTCGCCCACATGTGGTAACGGGTCAACTTCATATTTGAAAATGAATTCTTTTCGTTGTTTGTCATCCATTCGTGATAAATTATGACGGAGAGCTTCAAGATTGTACTTCAGAACAGATCCATTGTTTTTCTGCAATAATAATCAATGAAAAATAACTTATATATATGTACTACAACGTTTGTATCATGAAAGACATACCAAAGCTGTACTAAAATCTGCTATGTTATAAAATGTATCATATAAATAATCTATTTTATCATTCAAGCCTTCTACAGATCTAAATATTTTCCAAATGAAAACCTAACCCATCCATCTATTTCTGAGGTTTGCAGTAAAATAGTCTCGCGACAAATTTGACAACAAATTCCATTTTAATACTCACGTTACTGACTATAGTTTCCTCCTTTTTTGAATACATTTCCTCTTGCTGCATTTTCATCACAATACTGGATGTGCAAGAATTTTGGTCAAACTCTTCCAACTTTTCATTTGACTCAAGTTCTGTCTTGTTGATACTGTCACAATTATCCTGGTTTTGAGGAGATGCATTTTTTCCTGCTGTCGATAAATCTACATCAGCACTTGATGATAATTTGCTCCTCGCTGACCGAGAATCTGGCTCGGAATATTCCGAGCAACTGTCTCTTCTGACGCTGGGTATTTTGATTTTTAATGCTTTGCAAACTTGCGAATTAGGCATCGGGAGATATTTCCTATTTTGAATTTGCTTGAATTTGCTTCCCGATGTAGGGAGGAAAATTCCCGAAGTTACGGACGGCATACGTTGAGGGCATTCAAACGATATTTCTTCCAAACTCGATTCTTCAATTTTTGAATTATAAGATCTGATTGATATGGAAGACGGGAATGAATCATCACTATATACAATGCTTCCATATGACGTTCCATCATAAACACAATCGTTTTGTTTAGATATTTGTTGTTTCAAATATTCCGGGAGAGTTGTTGGCCTTTCAAATGACGAAGAGGAAGCTACACGACGGTAATTATCTTCATACTTATAAAAGTTGTCAGAATCGTTTTCGCTTTCAGTCCATTCAAGGTGTGATGGTAAATCACAATCTGAGGTATTTTGAGAATCAAAACTCGATGTATCAGAAAGATACATATCTGAATTACATCTACTAGAATTTGTTTCATGTGTTTGTTCTGGCACACTCGAAACTTCGCCAATCTCAAAATTCTTCATATTTTCATCAGTAGGTTCGAGCACATTCAAATTTTCAATAACTTTGTCTTCTGGTTGTTGACCGAAAAGACTTTCTAATCCCAAATTTTCATCTGGCTGATCCTCAGAAGAATTTTGAAACGCAATTGTTTCGCCCACATGTGGTAACGTTGCTTCTTGGGCAAGTCTCCGAATCGACCGATTTTCGGATGATGATTGTTGTTTAACAATGATTCTATCACCTAGTATATGATTACCTGTTGATGTTTCATTTTTTTCATTCAAACCATCGTTATCCAGTAATGCTTCATGCATTGGACTGGTCAGTTTTTCCTCGCTTTCTCTCTTTCCCAACAAACTCGCATCAGTATTGGGTTCTTTAGATTTTATGCAACAATGTTTACTCGCAGGCACTTGGAAGCCATTCCCAATGAATTTGCCGTTTCTCTGTCCTGACTTTTTTGATGCAATTCTATGTTGTCGCATCTGAGCCTGACGAACATACTTCCAAGCCGCTTTCCTCATTTTAGCAATTTTTCTCGATTTTTTATAGCCTCGGAAACGCCGAAACCAAATTCTTACAAGCAGCTTCAAAATTTTGTACAACCTTCTTCGAATTTTGTACTTTATAATGACGTCGGAAGCTTGTTCTTTAAGTTCAGCAATGGCTGATATTAAGAACTTGTTTTTATTATGTGAAATAACTAACCATCTTACCGTTCTAAAGATCATTGGGACGATGACAATCCACCAACAGAGAGACCACCCGTTAAATGTCCTGCATAATTCGTCAAACGGCATCCAAGTATTATCGTTTCTGACATTATTCCAGTGTACGTACGATTCATTCAACACTCCAATACTGCTTGGAAAGTGTTGCGGTTGTTGGACGATTATATCTCCTTTTTCCCGGTAATTATCCCCGGTAGAGGATAATAGTCCACATAAGAAGATTGTAAGAACCAGCAAGAAGCGGGTTCCGATAATCAAAAATTTGATTCTTTTTCTCAGAATTGAGTGCAAAAACTCAAAAATCCACGACATTTTTACCTGTTCACAGATCAATATCGCAAATGGTGTAAAATGCAATATTTTCCGTATTTACTAATTCTGTAATATCGATTGTTATTAAATAAGTAAGATATTGTGACGTCACAATTTCATTTTCTCTTTTTCGTTCATGGCCGTCTGGACCAGGGATAACTACATTTTAAGACTCAACTAAGATTCTACGATTATCATGATAAAAATAAAAATTATCGAAGCGACTTACCGAGCCGATTTACCTGATACTAGACTAGATAAGTGTATTTATTTTCTGCAGTATTTAGGACCTGAATAGGTTTGGAAGCCAATTATAGCAAGACGTGGTCTGAAATATGATGCAATACTATGTGCTGGACTCGAGGGATAACAAAGAACTATGCTCTATTTATATTTATCAATGTTCACTTTCTTGTTTTCACTGCGTTTTTATTATATTTTTTATCTGTTATTTATTTCGTATTGGCGTGTGAATTTGTGTGTACGGGTTAATAGTCGGAGTTTTTGAAACCGTGTTGGGTATTTCAATATATTTTTTGATTCAACGTCTGTTATGTATTATGTTAATGCTAATATTTTGAAATAAACAAATTACATTTTTCATCACACACATTTTTCGTTTTTTTTTATTCACGGACACACCTTCCTGTGACACACGGTAGAGTTCTTTTACATTTGACTGGGATTTCACTAACAACGCCGTGACCATGACAAACATTTGACCTTCGAGTTCATAGATTAGATTATTGCTGTTTTATTTTCATTGTCATATTTTATGCAATTTTTACAAATGCATCACACCTATAAAACTACATCTTTGGATATTGAAGCAACAATATAAATTTACCAAAATATTACATGATGTAGGCAGATTATGCTGCAGAATTAACAGATAAGTTTGTAGCTCAAATACAAATATTTAGTAAAAGCTCATATGTTCCGCTGATATTCATGTTTTCTTGTCTTATTATGTTCACAGAATGATCATTGATTGAACCTATTTAATGTAAAAGGTTCAAGAGGATATGGACATTGTTTTCCAGTAGCCATCGCTGCCAGTATTCCACCAACTGTAGGCGAAGTTTTGAATCCGGTACCTAAATATAAATTTGTCTAGTTTTGGCATAGATAATGTGAAAAATAAGTTTTTATATTATCTTACCACGTGTTTTGGAAAGGATTGTTCTAATTGTTTTCGAAACAATATCGATTTTGATTTAGGATGAATTTATTATTCGCTCAATATTGTGGCACTAAGTATTATTCAGTTAAATTTTGTCAGTTTTAATTTGATAAATATTCTAATGTATTTCATAAACCCATTACCAGAAAATCCTGTTCCAATAACAATATTCGAATGTTCGGGATGAAAATCTAGGATACTATTCTTATCTGGAGAATCCTGAAAAATTAAATGTAAAAAATTATTCGACACATATCGCAGTATTTTTTTAATTAACTGATTGAATTAGCATTGTTAAATTTTTACATTTAAGTCAGAGATTTGCTTTTTACAAATCAGCTCTATTCTACTATACAATAATAAAAACTCACGGTATACATGCAGGTTTCTTTAATTGCTGGATTACTGTTGTCAATTCCGGGAAAACGAATTCCGATATCTGATTTTAATTCTTCCAGTGCTTTCTTCTCTTCCTCTTCTATTTTTCGAGTAATAACATCTCTCGTATTCGGATCGTCAACCGCAACTCCAGAATGCTTGCATATCTTCATAATATATTAATTGATTAATATGATGGAATTGCCTCAGATTATCACGATTAACGATTACGATTGCTTTGCCCAGCTCTTACAAATAATAGGGACTTGACAATATTTCAACTCAACATTTTTTGGATTATTTGTTTCTGATTTCTCCCACAGCTATGAATAGACAGTTTACTAGAAAGGCGATTGGTTTGTTGGACGATAGATTTGTTTTTATGCTCGAAAACTTACCTTCACCAGGCCCGAATATTCACACGAAGGAAGGAAGTATACTCTAGCCGAGACGTCTCTTGCTACTGGGAAATTGTTAGCAATCGAATAAGTGAAGCCCGGCTTTTCTTTCCAATAGTAAGCTGTCACCTTGATAGGCTGTCATGTTGTAACGAGAGATAAAATGCATATCGTATAAAACACAAAGAGATATGTTTTGTATGCGCCAATTACGGTAATGAAAGTAACAACCACAGAATTCCCTTTTGTCATGCAGGAAATGACTAATTATACTCACTTGGTTTTGAAAAATCGTATCAGATACAGTAAAATGTAACGTCATCAAATAACAAAAAGGAATGAATATCAACGATAGTCTTATTTTGATACTTTTAAACATGTAATAAATTTGACCACAAATTGCAATATTTTAATATTCGGTGTAATTAGACCTAATGAATAATACATGTTGTTATATGTTCTATGGCGCTTATAACTTCAGTGGTCTTTTGCGCCTTTGATCAATTCAAATTTAAAAATACTATACTAACATATACATATAATACATATGTCGCTGATTCTCAGGACAATGGGCCATAACGGGCTACCCTCTATATCGGATTTTCTCTTTTGGGGTCAGCGATAAACAATAGGACACAATAAAATAAGAACAGTTTGATTACAACATGAATATTCACCTGTACTGGTAGTCGTAAATGTACAGAAGCCAAAAGGTCGTTTATAAATGGTCCACACGTTAAAACAACGAATTTGCAAGTGTATGTCTTGATGGAGGTCTTTACCTCAACTTTGTCTTGGTTGATTGGAACTACAGACAATACCTTCTCGCCGTCTCGCAGTTCTCCACCGTGAGATTTGAAGCTTTCCTACGTCGCACATATTGCAAAAAGTATTAAATGGATATTGGATAAAAAAAAAAAAATATGTATTGTAATGAACGGACAAAAAGAGAAATTGAATTCGCATATTCCCATTATTTTTATAGTTCTCAAACACAAAAATAAAGTTATGATTCTCATCCGAGCAATGTGGAGCCATACGGTGCTAACAAATTCTCGGTATAAACTTTTTGTTTCTAATATTAAAGAGAAATAGCCAATTGACATAGAAGGTTTATAGCAACGTTACTTCGAGAATAAATGTTTATTTGCCCTGATTAAAGCAACATTTCTAAATACTAGCTATTATCGTGTTGAGTCGAATGCATGCCAAAGTTTGATAATTAGCGTTTCATACTTGCAAAGCGGACAAGCATTTATCTGCTCTCAATAAACCAGCATTCGTCTCAAATATTCCCCTGTATTGCGAATCATTGCTAATGCCGTGAAACCGTTCGGACAGTTGTTCACCAGGTATAATTTCGTGATTGATTTGGTGCTTTTTCAAGTTTTGAATGATAGAATTGAATTCTTCTTCATTTTGCTTCATGTTGTACATATTGATGCAACCGATATCTCTTAATATAATATTCACACTTTCAATTAACGTTAGTTCATCAACGTTGAAAAATGTGGACTTATAATATAATTTATAATATATTATGATTTCAATCGTATTTTGGATAATATTTGCTTGGAGAATGTTTGGCCATTAACAACAATTAAATTATTTTTCATCTGTTAGCCGCAATATTATTTCAAAGGATCGGTGTCATTTCAAGTGTCATTATTTTCGAGTACTGTTATTCTAAAACTATCAGAAAAATATTTTACAACAAGAATAAAATAAATAGGATGTACTCACAAGTACAATTTTTTTCCTGTCTCCTTCTCAAGTTCTTTCCAATGTTTGTTTGCTTCAGGCAATATTGCAACATATTCTTCTGATGCATAGGAAGACCTGGTGATTCTAGATTGCCCGTGAGAACTTCCTCGAGTATGTGGATAGGGAAACTATTAAGAAGATGTTTATGACTATAATTTTTAGCATTCCAAATGTAGCATTCCAGCCATGGCAGCTAATTACATTGTTTTTAATGTTTATTATTTTTTGCCTGTTTTTAATATTTTATACTTTCCTCCGACTGTAATTACCGTATGAAATGCTTCAAGTTTTGGTTGAATAGAAAATATTAATGTGTTAATCATATAACTCGCGTGCAACAATAACATAAGGTTAAATCATTACCTGCTCGAATAAAATAGTCTTTTTTCCTTCATGAGTTAGATGAAATCCTGTCCAAAGGCCATTAATCCCACCACCGACTACTATAACATCCGCATCCATTTAAATCGCTTATTAAAGTGAGTTCAAATTGCCAAATTAATCCTGATAGCATAATATATATAAAAGAGGTGCATCGCGAAATATATCAGGGTTATCGAAGCAACACACCCAAATTGAATCACGCGAAAATGTGAAACGCAATAGACCTCGAAAACGTACGGCTATTCCATTTACACTTCTATTTGTATCCCTGAATTTTCTCTCAGTTTGGTGGATGAGCTAGACTAGACATTTAGATACACTCAACACATCTGTTTTCAAGTTGTCATCATATAACACTATTATCTGCAAGCTAGCGTGTTAAATTTGGTACCATGCAACGTAGGTTTGTACAACGCCAATGTCAACTGAATTGGTCGATTCTAATTCTTGCCGACACAGACAGCAAAGGATTGTTAAATGTGGTTAATGGTTTACCCCCCGTCGTTTCAGTAATGTATGATGGCATTCTGAACAAGGCAAACACGAAGGGCGCTATCCCTTCCTTTATCATATTACGCTATTAATTTTTACTTCGTGAATTCAGTAAAAATTGCCTAACCTTAACGCCGGATTAATGTGGGGACTGGTGGGGCTTCAGCCCTAGGTACACTATTAAAAAAAAAGGCCCAGCGATTCCATAATACTGTTAGATTTTTGTCCAAAAAGTAAGCAGTAAAACATTCACATATTCATTAATCTCAAATATACATTTTATTGAATGAAAGGTTCATATTGGTGCTTTTTACATTGTTGTATTCCTTGCGAGAAAATTCAAAAATGCAACGGTTAGTACACTGAATTTAGTACACTGAATTTAGTTTCTGTGTTATGAGTTTACTTATTTGTCATTCTAGGGATTCCCAAACTTGGGTACATGTACCCCACGAGATACATTTCAACTTTTCAACAGATAGCATTTAGCATAATAATATTCTTTCCGTAACTTCTAATCTGCCCAAAATGTTTTTATCATCTGATGTTAATACCTCGTGTTTGAGAGTTCACGGGAAGTCCCATTATCGCCCCAGTAGTAGCTTTAACTACAGTAACTATCAAGTCTACATTCGAATTTGGGATCGAAACGCATACGAATCCATGGGGAGAGATGGGTTCGGAAAAGTATTGTACAGTTGCACGATCGAATTGAATTATCTCAAATAACTTATATCGAAAAACACTGCCTTATTACAAAGCCTTATTACAAATATATGATTGAGATCCAAATCAGAACTGTAAACAAAGAATACATCAGAAACCAATTTTTGCCAACTCTCGACCGAAGGCCGGAAATATGTCACCAATCTTATCGGCACATAGCGCGACACTGTTTAAAAGCTTGTCACGAATGAATCAGAACCAAGAAAACCAGTTCGAATATCCCAGTAGCACAAAGGGGTTAAATGAACATAAAATTCATATTAACCATTCCACATTCGCTACAGAACACAGCTCAAAACACGTGTACCGGCTTTTCGTTGTGCTGTTGCTGATGATTCATCTCGTATTGACGAACTTGTTGCTAAAAAGCAGGCTCGTCGATCTCATTAGGATTGCAGGGTTTATTCAGCCAATATATTATTAGTTAGTACATTGTAGTGTTTGTTTAGGCTTGGAATGTTCAAGCTTACATTGTTATGAACAGGTTTGTGCGCTTTTATTACTTCTAATCACGCGGCTTTTTCATACTAAACTATTGTATATAATCAATTTTGAAGTGTTTAACAAATTCAGAGGAAATTTAATGGGTGCCCAGCTGTGGAAAATCCATAAATTGTCCAAAGGGGGACGACGAACAGAGCGCTTATGAAAACCTCTTGTTATTCGAACCTCGAGGAAAGTGAGGGCCCGATATCGACGGTCGATCGTAGAGTTATTTTCCATTTTTGCGCAACAGACAATTTAGCCTGCAAGTTGGGATGGGTAAAGCATTGAAATTGGGTGCCCGCCTCAAGTCTTCGTCGACCAAGCTAACTGGCGCTCGAAAGGGTGGTGGCTTTTAAATATTGAAATAGTCGGATTATCGATTCATATGTATCGCTATAACGTTTCCAGCCCCTAAACATATAACATTAGCCATGGGATTGCCAACTCTATTACATCATCCCCGACTTGACTTGCCGTGTTCAAAAAAAATAACATTTTTCTCATTAGAAAAAAGAATTATGACGCGCAATCATTTTGATTTTCAATATACGGTTCCAGTCACAAAAACCTTCATATTTAGTTAAAGCAGATAATGACTATTCAACAATGTGCTAAAATACAATACCGAGATTGACTTTTGAGTTTTGTCACGAGATTTTAGGCTTCATTTTTTGGAATCACGGGTAAATGTAATTATTGAGTTCCGCAGGGCTCAATACTAGGTCCTTTACTTTTCACAATTTATGTCAGTGATTTAAAAAATGCTACCAATAGTGACATGAAAATGTTTGCCGGCGACACCTGTATCGTTAAAAATCAGCAAAGTGATTAACTTTTCCAAGTTGTCAAAAATAGTGAAATAAGTTAAGTGGGTGCTTGGATGAGAGTAAATAAATTAACTATAAATTATTCTAACTCGACTTATATGCCTTCTTACAGAAATATAAGCAAAGTTTCCCGTGTATCATTTGATGGTAAAATGTTAGCTGAAGTGTAATGAATGAAATAATATAATTATTGGCAATGAATTGTAATAGCATGCTCACATAGAATACCTATATAGCAAGTTATCAAGAGTGACTGGAATTACGTTCAAATGTAGACATTATTCGACATTGCATGCCCTGAAAATAATTTACTATTCATTCTTTTATCATAAATGGTAACGTACCGTGGAGTAGTTGTGGCAAAACTCTCCTTAACGAACTACAGCTAGTCCAAAATAAAGCAATTCTAGTCATGTACCTTGCACCATGATAAGAAGACAAACTGCATCCACAACGTTTTACCCTGTATACTCTTGAGCATACGGATATGTACGAGTTCATGGAATCTAAGTGCAACTGTACGTGGGTGTAAAAGTGCTGTTACACTTTATAAATTCCATCTTCTTCGATTATAGGCAAGCCTTGTACTTAACTACTCATCGAAAATATATTCTCATATTATTTCCCAACAACCATACCGTTAAAAATATATGTATAACAAATAGGGTACTCAAACGATATGCAATTTACAACTTTTATTTTAAAGCTTCTGCTCAAAGCTCACAAATTTCAGATAAAGCATTGACAAACAGTAAAACATCTTGGAAACCGCAATACAAAGGCGCTGGACACACCGTCAATACATCAAGAGAATAGAATGAACAGATAATTCCACGTTTCTTCAATTTTTCATAAATCTGAATAAAAGAGTGAATTTCATTGCTGGTACTTGTAGGCTGATATTTTTTTATAGGTTTAATTTTCAATCGAACCGACAGTAATCATGAAACCATCAAGCTGTGAGAAGTTTTATGTCTCAAATTATAACTCATAACTAATATACGGTAAAAAATATTTAATAAAATTCCTGAATCGTGGAGCAATCTGGAAAAAAGGTCTTACATCTTTGGCATCCTCTTTAACTTTGAAGGAGAGTTGAGCTCCTCGTTCTGAAGGATTTGATGGTGTAATCATCCGGATTGGGTCGGAATCCATACAACCCTCGGTACATTTGTACTTCAGTCGCAATAAAGTCTCCAGATACCTGAAATGTATTGGTGACACAGGTGTGAAAAGAAAAAAGAACACTTTCAAAGCTTTTTTCAACAGGTTTCATATGAGAAATTTTATCAGATGTCATCATACACGTGGAAACTATGTGTAGAACGCTAAGGCCTATGTGGTTATGTTTCCTTTAGGAATAATTTGCAAAATGAATTATATACCGTATCATAATCATAACTCACCCATTCAACAGAATTGACTTCTCTCGGATTTTTTCGATTGAAATTTTACCAAATATATCTAAACCCGCTTTGATCTGAGCAATTTTTGTTGGAGGTAAGTTGGATAATTTATATCCATTCACGCCCGGTGTTCTATCAAGTTCATTGGTCATTTCAAATCTTGTAGACATTCGATGACTCCACCAACCTAAATATTAAGCATTATATATGATTTTCTCAGGTCGATTTCCAGAAAGAAAGATTGATAGTCCGACCTGTGAATTTAGGAAAATGATTTTTTGAATGTTTTTCGTGGAGGAATGTGCATCCCATTGATGATGATCCAGCATTGATATATCTTCCTGTATCCCAGCATGCAAAATCAACTCCCCATTCGTTTAATTTAAGATCTACATTTCCAACAGCATCATTCAGCACCAGTCCAACCTAAATAAAAAATATTCAAAGAGACACTATTCGGATAATCAGGAATAAGAATACAGTGTTTCGCTCCTTTTCAAATCGAAATCTGCAGTGGAAGCATAGCAAAAAAGAAACGGGCTAAATGAAAAAGCAATTTCCATTAGCGTACATACATACCATGCATCCTTTTTTATGACCAGTCCTTGTTATTCTTTCAATATCCAGAAATTGGCCAGATTTCCGAAGTATAGCAGGCAATAAGATTGTTGCTATTGACTCTCCATTTTGTTCAATAAAATCTATTAAATCATCCATATCTAAACAAAACGACGTCTGAAAATAAAATAAAAATAATTAATATATTATGAAACGTATTGAACAATTTTTGAATCAGCTTTACCTCAGATGCATCTTTACAGAATTTTCATGCGTTAGATAAAAACTAGTCATGATAGCTGAGAAGTCATATCTCAGTTTCAAATTTCGCTTTCTAATGACTATAAGCAAGATTCCATACACCAGTACGATTTTAGATTCTGTTAATTATACCCAAGTATTAATTCATTTACAAAAAGTAGACAACAAGTAATAAACACTTACGTCCTGATATGGAGCCGATACCAAGCTTTCAGATACTTTAAATCCATGAGATACTATCTGAGATTTAGCTATATTTACATAGTCTGATTCGCTATCAAACAATATCTTGTGTCTTTTTGTGGTTGGTTGATAAAATGAAACCAACATTAGATGTAGATCCACATCGACTGTGTTCATTGCTACAACCTGATATATATATAAGGTTCCGTATATTTGAACCCACGTACATTTGAACCCACGACAATTGCACCTGCATACTATTGCACCTATGGAATTTTGTTTTGTTTTGCGAATATTTGAACCCATACTAACCCTAACCCATGGGTTTTAGCACCCGCATATAGATTGAACCCGCGGATATACACGTGGGTGCAAATGTACGTGGGTTTAAATGCACGTGGGTTCAAATGTACGGTCACCATTATATAAAAATGTTAAAACAATATAATTATGGAAATAAAAGATATAAACGATGTAATAGTATTGCATAATGATATGGTAGGCTACTGGTAACCTAAACCTGGGTATGATGGCTAGAAATGTCCGTTTACTTTATATAATGCAAGCTTTTATATAATGATGAAAATATTATAGAAGGCTGAAAATGCATTTTCACACTATTTCAAGCATACCCAATACTAAGAGCTCAATAAAATTTAGGCAATTATTTCTGTGAAGCATATCTTGATTAATATTCAATTCTGTATCTGACTGATATTGATCCAAAGATGCATGAAGGCAAACCCACGACGTTTCAACTACGCTCAATGTCGCCATCGGAGCATGTTAAGTTGGATCTAACCAATTGCCTGATTGCAACCCTGCACGGCATAAATACATATAAAAATGATTGAGCTTTAAACGGGGCAATATGTAAAATCTACTCAAACCCATAAAACTCGGAAATATTTTAAAAGCTAGGTATAAGACTCACTTCTTCAGATTTTGCACCTACAAGTTTTCCAAGTTGTTGTGAAACGTATTTTTCACAAGATGCTGCTGGAAGTGGATCCACGAAATGACATTCCACCCCTTTGTTTGCCCAAGAATTTAAAACCTTGGTAACATAAATAAAATGTCAGTCAGTATTGCCCTCAAGCCTACTATTAGAGTCGTTTTCGCGATCTGAAGTTTTTAAATTCTAAAATACTTACCGCTGTGACTAATGGCTTTGCTGATTTTGGTTGCAGACCCAGAATATTTCCAGATAAGCATATGTATTTCTTCTCTTTACCTAGATCGAGGTATAAAAATATATCATACTGTCAGTACATAACTTAAAAGGTATTCAGAGAAGCAGGCGTGCCATACCTTCTGAAACGTAGGTTGGAAAAACAAATTCTTTCTTCAGCTGTCTCATCTCGTCTTTTTCGTCCAAGTAACGAGCAAATGCTGTAGATAACACATCATGTTTGGCACTCCTTGACAACTCTCTCAGTACTGTTTCTGGTGATTGTTCGAGCATTCGTTTTGCTAAACCACTGAATGACATCTCCGGAAAGATGTGCACTTGTGTCATGACTGCTATTTATTGGTATTTGTTTGCGGATTTCGTCAGAAACCACACACTATATTCGTATAGAATAAATTATATATCATTATTAGCGTATGAATTATTATATACATACTGTATATGTATAACAATATATATCTAGATTGTCTACGATGCAAAACTCCTCTCATTACCAGCTTCAGCCTATACAAACAAAAGTGAGCTCGAAACCACACGCGCTTTCTAGCTGTATTGTTTAAACAAGATATGCAGTCATGCGAATCGATACCGCTTGTTAATTAAATGCTTTCATAAACTATGACTTCCTGAATTACGTCATCGCAATTAGCAGCGTAAAGTTTGATCAAGATAGTCAGAGTGCAATGATCAATGAGCATATCGATATTCTCCATCAGACATGTGACTAATATCCATTAGTACTGATCTGAGAACAAATATATATAGCACGTAGGACCTATCTACTACTATCGCTATTTCTATTGGATGGCAATATCGAACGACTAAAAAGATATTCTAACAAAATTGGGGAAATTATGCCTGTAGTAAAACATGCACAACCGATAAAAAAACGATGTAAGTTTTGTCAACACTTCCGTAACGATTGCACTGAAATATATCTATTTAGACATTCGAAACGTGAGCAAGTCCCATTATACATGTTTTGCTATGAAAAAGTCTAATAGATAGTAGGAATCCCTATTTTGGTTCTTCTTTTCTCTTTTTAAGGGTAAGATATCGGTATCTTTCTTCATTCTCTGACCGGATGTGCGAATGTATAGTTTCGTAACCTACATGATGATAGCTACAACTGGAATTCTGAGAACTAGGTTTGAAGCCAAGAAGAAATATTGGGTCTTTACTTGAAAAGAAACATTGTGTTTTTAGAAATACAATATATTGTAGCGAATGTGGAATGTAAATATAGATTTTAATGTTATTTAACCCCTTTTTATTAATAGCATGTTAAATTCAATGAAAATAGGTCATTTTAGCAATCTCCCGATGGTGATTTATCGTAGCAAAGGCTTTAATATTTATGCTTCTTTGTATCGAGCGTTCTTTAGGATTTAGTGTTTTTTATGTTTTTGTGTTGCTTTCTGATTTGAATTTCAATCGCGTAGCTGGTATTAAGATTTGAGTGTATATTACAATATATATATATCTGTTTAGATTCAGTTTGATCGTGCAACTTTACGATATATACGAACATTTGATATTACAATGTATTGTGTGCTCATTGACCACTGTAGGAGTCAATTGGGGTTTACTCCGGTAACGTGTGTATAATAATACGGGAGTAAGGACACGCAGATAGGGACCCTTTCCTCACTATAATATCAATGTCGGTGTGATGGCGCCGACTATAATGCCCTCTAGCGACCTCTTTCGACATCAATCGGCGTAGACGCGTTTACTGAAAAAATATTTTCTTGTTGATAATTTGAATTATTCTATTCGGGAAATTCCGGTGATTAACAAAATACGATGTTTTTTTAATCAGGTTACAAGTCATTGTATTTGATGATATTTGTTTTTCATTTTCATGACAAATAAAATGTATATACGAATATTGCTGAATTATTTGTCGGGCACGGATATTTTTAACCCTGCGATTCCCTTCGCTGAAATTGAATTTGCACCTTATGAGCATAATATTATTTGCTTGTATGTGCAATGTATATATTTATACAAAATGGCAATGGTCTTGAAAAGTTTCTAGAATCTAATTTAAATTTAGTTTTCAATGGAATGAAAAACCTTTGAGTGACAATATATCTTCCAGAAGATTATTCAAATATTTGAGCAAAATTTATTACTTAAATATGAAAATGAGAAAACATATTGAAATATTATAAGAAGACGCAAGTCACTATCTTGTTATCACTATTTTGAATTAGTTTGAAAGTTAGGTGAGTATAGTTGAATGAATGACTTTGTTGTCGGTTTACCAAGCACAGATATGCGTTTCAAAATACTCCGTACTTTGCAACAACATGAATAAGAGGTTAGGATAAGACCAATCCAAACTGTCAAATATCAGAAACAAAACACCCTAAGATACTATGGAACATCACTTGTTTCTATTCACAAATCATTGTATGTTTCGTAGGATTCTTCCACTTGACTCAAAAACGTCGCTTTTATGCTAGTCGCTAAGAGCTATTGCTGACGTACTTCAAACTTGAAAACAAATTGTTATTAAGTAGAACGACCCCGTTTATGACGGATTTATTTTAAGCGGTTTTCTATAGATTACGTGAGCTTATCATGTATAGGAAAGAAACGAGAAGAATAAAATGTTTAAAAAAGGTTCTAAAACCAAAACGTATGCAAACTTATATAAGTATGATATAAGTAAGAACTATGATGAAGAAGTATGATACAAGTAACTAAGATACAAATATTTTTAAAATTGTTGTCAAGAGTTATTTAGATAAGACAAGATGGGGTTATGATTATTTTCTGAATGCCATACAGTTAAAAGTACACATACAGTAATTTTTTTTCTTATTTCACATCTTTATAAATTTATGCTAAGTATGAGTATGGCAAGGAATGTCTATGAAATGGAATATTTAATTTCATCCGATTTAGGTCATGTTTTCATTTTATTTGATGGGGTCATGTAAAAATCTTTCAAGTTTAAAGGCTCAATAAACTGGTGCATGTATGCACATATTTACATTGATATTGGTTTTGAATGTATTTATTTGTATTCTTGGAGGTGTACAATTTTACGGTTCCATGAAAAAAAGTCAGTAACAGATATACTATGTAGCAAAAACAAACGGGAGAGTCAACGAGAGCTACTTCATCACTTTCTATTAGTTTTCGAATGTTCGCAAATATAAGTGCAAGAGTTTTTTGGCAACTTCGGTGTGATAGTTGTTGTACAGATAGTGAAGTGAGTTCAGCTTTGTGCTAAACAATAAAATCTTGTTACAAATAAGAACTCGGTTTTACTTCAAACGTAATAGTGCGCAATAACTGATTTTGTTCAAGTACCTCTTGATTTCATGTTGTACTCGACCGACAGCGAAATGAAGAATGATAAAGTTTCCACAAATCAATACAGAATTACTGTATACTTTCAAATTGAGTGGTTTATAAATATTGTTTAGCTTTACTATATACTTCACTGTATACATTTGCTTTAAGCGGTAATTATTACCGATGCTCTTACTTTTTCTTGTGGGACATCGATAAAAGAAGACTCTGTGGAAGTTTAAGTTGGAATTAAATAAATATTAGATACCACCAACATCAGTGTGGAGAATCATCTGGTAGAAAAATAAAATTCATATCACATTTGACGTATTTGGGGTCAGAATCGAATTGATATGAGGAATAAAATTTGTTTATGTGCGCCATTATAGACTTTGGAAGAATAATAGAAACAAAGTTATTCTAATCTAATATTTTGCTCCTTACTTTTCCAAGGTAGGTGACTGAAAACAGTTAAAAAAAACAATGAATAAATTATAATAGAACCTGAAAATGATTTGAAACAACAATTTTAAAATGCGCCATTATATATATTTCTATGGCATTTCTGCAAATAGAAAAAATAGAAGACCTCAAAACTGGTCTTTCTGTGTAATTAATTAAGCATTTTTAAAGTTCTGATGTAGATTGAGTCAATATTATACTTGAAAACTCTAACTCATCAAACTGGTGTTAAGGTTTTTCCGCTTTCGCTTTTTAAACTTTTATAGAATATTATATATATTATATTTTATGCTAGTCTGTATAGTAAGGATTTATATGAAATTATACCTTCTGAAACTACCAGAAGTTGGTAATGATGCAAAATTATGAAAGTAGAATAACAAAATGATATTTTGAGATGATAAAATTTAGAAACGACGAGCTTTGATTTTTCCGCGTGAAACAGGGATCGTCTATACTGTTTTAGGTTGTTGATAATTTTTGCACGTTTTAGCGAGTTTTTTGGTGGTTCAAACATGTTTTCAACGCCTCAAGAGAGTGAAGAATATGAACCAATGACTACAAACTAAGAAACGTTTCAATTTAATTTGTCCATAACATCATTGCAAGAATTAATATATGGTTTTCTAATTTTTACAGATATAAATTTAATCATGCGTTGGTACTTTAGTTTGCTTATAATCATTCAACTATTTTTAATTTGTGTTAACATAACACTTTCAAAATGTCCTAGTGGATGTACCTGTGATGACAACGATCACAAGTTAAAATGCAGATTTCCAGCTGCAAGAGCAATACCTCAATATATATTTCCAAGAAATATTACTTCTCTAGATCTCTCAGGTAACTAAAAGTAGAAAATAATCTAAGACGTATAGGGATGCTAATATAGGCACTTATTGGTATGTACCTTCCTATTCAGAGCATAATTATTCAGTACAATTCAGTATTAGTTACTGTAAATATAGTAAAAGTTATTTAAGCATGCCTACATGTACTCATGGTATAATACAAAAAATATTACTCGTGTTTAGTTTGAATTGTATAAGACTTGATGCCCTATAGGAATTAAAATGGGGACAAGTATAAGCTTTACAGAAAGATCGGTATTGCTGGGGAAATTGTGTTGAAAATAAGTGATTACGTTTTTAGTATTTACGTAAGTATGAAGTGCGACTGCGACATCATAATTATATTTCTAAAGCGAATAAAAAGGTTCTATTATTTACCTTTTCCCAGACAACAACATATTAAACATACCTCCTGGATGTCTGAGGTCCATAACAAAGTTGGAAGAAATCAATATGGACAATAACAAAATCTATTTTATCGAAAATGGAGCATTCAAGGTCGTATAAGTTCGAATAAAAAAAATAAATATATACAACAATTAAGAGAACTAATGAGACTAATGAGAACTAATAACTAACCAGATATTAACACCTGACAATGGAAGTAAGGCGAAAATGAACGAATATGTCCCAAAACAAACCTAATAGATATGGTATTAGGATGGAAAATATGTTAATATTTACCAAACTTGATTAATTAAAAGTGATTTATAGCCTATCTCGTGAGCACTTTAACAATCAAACATTCTTATCTATTATTTTGAAACGCAAAATTTAAAACTTGTTTTATCTATGTAACACAGGGTGCAAAGCAACTAAGAAAAATATCGTTAGAAGACAACAACATTCATTTCATCGAGAACGATGTGTTTTCAATATTACCCAATCTTGAAGAACTGAAATTAAATAAAAACCAACTGACAACGTTCCCAAATGTTCAAAATAATCCACATCTATCAATATTATCTTTATCGTATAACAACATTAATATGATACCAAATAAAGCTCTTGAAGGTTAGTCTGCGAAACTATTTCATCTAGTCTAAATGTGCCAAGTTATAAAAATAGGAAACTGAGAAGTGACTTACTTTAATTAAATTAAGTGATTAATAATATCTGATTGTGTGTATATAGAAAAATACTTGTACTCAATGCTTATTTCTGTATGTATATGTAATATTTAAGCGTTCCAATTTTTAACAGAGAACAACGAGTTAAGAGAATTGCATCTGGAATCGAATCAAATATCCGATTTGCCACGAAGTATTTTCCCAGCCGAAGTATCTAACTTTACTGTTTTAAACTTGGTTAAAAACAGACTACACGACACGCCAAAAGTTGTGGGGGAAATGGTTAACCTTGAAACATTGAATCTTTGCTATAATCCTATTAAGGTAATGTATATTAGATAGCCTTTCTATATCATTTGAATTATTTCACCAATACCATGTTGTTTTTGGAAGGTAAAGTGAATATTGGCAACATTTTCGTAGTATTGAATGGTCGAATAGTATTCAAGAAATCATTCCGCCGATAAAAAATAACATTTTTCAAGTCAGATTTATGGGCTTATATTGTGAACTTTGTTTGGTAAATGAATTCATAATCTATATACTATTTATATTACGGTTCTTCGTGCTATTGATAATAAAACTTACGAAGCAATATGTTTTATTTTGAAGATTAATAGCTAAAAATAGCCTCCTTGTATATTCCAAAATCCTATATCAATATTTATATTCGTATTTCAGATATTTCGTTCAGACGACTTCAGACAACTTTCCTCTCTTAAGACTCTTACATTGACAGATGTAGGATTATCTACGTTTCCTGGGAATATATTATGGTTTCCTATGCTTGAGTACTTGGATATCGCTAAAAATGAAATATCTGGAACTGGTTTAAGTAGTATAAGGTTCAAAAAACTTAAAACTCTCAAGTTAAGTGGAAACCCGATTGATGCGATTGGTGGTGAGAAACAACTTGTTTTGGTATTCTCTCTTTTACAAATCACGGCATCCGAATTGTAGTAAAACTGTGCTCATATTTAGCCATGCTAGCATTTGCAAACTGACTTTACTCAAATTTTCTTTGCGAATTTCAAATGTAGAAAGATAATATGATGTTAAAATGATAAATCGATGTAAGACATCGATGGGTAGTTTAGTTATATTGAACTGTAACAAATGTTCCTCCATCAAGCGCCAATTTTTTTCCTCCTTTTTTGGAGTATCAGTAAAGTTATATTTTATATCAGCGTATGAGTGTCTGTGTATAGCATGTGCGTCCATATTCTCTAAGAGTATACAAACAGCATAGCATATTATGTGAAATTATTTCCAGACCTCTTTACCATAAATCTTACCATGTTACAGGAAACGCGTTTAGAGGGATCCCAGAGGTTGAAAATATATTTGCTAGCTCGTGTGGAATAACTGGCATCGATGACGAAGCTTTTTCAAGTCTTTCACGTCTGAAGAAACTAGAATTACAAAACAATAAGTAATATTTGCTGACTCAAAAAGTTAACCATTTGTTGTGAATTGTAGTTTATTCATTGTTGAAATCGATATTTTTTTGAAATATGGTGATGTCTTACTTCTAAAATTTCAGGATCGTTTTAAATAAGTACAAAAGTGATATCCTTTTAGAGATTTATTCCGGAATCGAATACTAAAAATGTTAAATCGAGTGATTCATTAGTTGCGGAGATAAACAGCTACTCTTACAACAACAACAAACTTTCCCAACAACAACAACAACAAATACCGCAACACTAATAACAACAAACGGGTCCATAGTTCCACTTCTTAACTAATTACTAATTTTATTCACAAATTTTTTCAGGCTCAGCACTCTACCCAAGTTTTCAAAAAATTTCAATCTTGAAGAGATCAACGTGAACAACAATAAAATTTTTGCTTTAGCTCCTCTCACACTCAGGTAATCAACGGGAATAAATTTGTTACAAAAAATATTTAAATGTTTTCTACTGAAATTGCCTGAAGCAGAGGATAAGATATCAAGGAGTAAAATTTATTTTATTTATATTTTCTAATTTTTCTATTATGAAACGGTTTCAAAACAAAACCTTCTACGATGTATTGTTTTTCCTTTCAGCTCGCTCCGAAGTTTGAAAAAACTATCAATGGCAAATAACTCCTTATCTGAGATAAGTGCATCTGCGTTTGGAAGTAGATACGCAGCAGCACTTTCTTCTATTGATATTTCTGGAAATAAGTTTACCAACATACCACCAATTTTAGCTGAAAAAGTGACAAATTTGACATCGTTGAATATATCCAGAAATCTTTTAAGTGACGAGTTTAAATTTTCATCTATATCGGGTATGTAAATTGATATTTTTCATTACAGCACATTTTAGCATACATTGTAATCTGTGGCGTTTTTCCAAAATAAGAATAGAATAGTAATAGATAAACTCTGTCAATTCAGATATCAAATTGTCTAGGTTTTTCTTAACTTATTTCGACGCTGTAAAACAGTTTTTATAGTTTTATCTATCCGATCAGTTTTATTTTAATTTTTAGATGCATCTCGCAATAAAAATGAAAGTAATGTAGACTTACGTAAACTACAATTATGCTTAATTAAAAGAAGTGAAATACTCGTATGTTTGAATTTTCTTCAGAAATGAAAAATCTAAAAGAACTTAACGTGAAGAAAAATCAGATAAATGAATTACTGCCAGATATATCACTGGATCTTCCAAGTTTGAAGCGATTGTATATGTGTGATAATAATTTAACACGTGTTGAAAATGGGACATTGAAAAGGTGGGAAACTGGCCATAATTTGTATTAGGAAAGCTATTACGAAGTATCGAATTGTATACTTTCTTGCTTTCCATTCTTATTCCTGAGCGTCCAATTTACAAATATGGGGAAATAGACATTGCTTGAACACAAAACGATATAGCCACCTTGTTCTAATTTATACATCACAAGTTTTAATTTTTTATATTCTTTTTATCAGATTTCCAAATCTTGAAGAGTTTACAGCAAATCGTAACAAAATTGAACAATTGAATAAAAATGTATTTACTGATAATAAAGCGTTGAAAAAGTTATGGTTAAATGGAAATGGACTGTTGACTGTTGACGAAGATACTTTTAAACCTCTAAATGAGCTCACTGATTTGATGCTACTATTCAACAAGTTAACGGTATTGATGTTTCTCCTCATTCATTTGTTAATAATTGATCAGTTCACTTTCAAATCAAGGCAAGCAATGAGGAATATTTCTGAAAGTTTTTCAAAATTAAAGCTTCAAAACAAACATGAATGACATGTGTTAATGTTATCTAATATAATCCGAGCTTATTTTTCAAGTTCATTTTTAGTAGAAGCTCACAGTAGCCAGCTGATGAGTAATAAAAAATTTCTTAACTCGGGAAACACGTGTTGGTGGCTTCATAACTGCTTTTAAGGGAATATTAGAAATAAAGAACTTCCTTCACTTTTGAGTGTAAAAAGAAAATTCTCGAGTTGTTTCATTGATCTGCGCGATTTTATTGATGGTAAAAAAAATCTTATTCTTACAGAGCATTCCAAAGTTGACATCAAATCATAAGTTAACCAGATTTGGTTTCTGTAACAACCCGGTAGGAGATTTACCAGCAGAAGCACTTACTGGACCAAAAGCACTAGAAATAGTATTACTCAGAAGTATAGGAACGACATCACTCGATTCAAAAGTGTTTGGAAATGTGAAAGCTATAAAATATTTAAATCTTGCATTGGACAACAAACTAACAAATGTTCCACCACTGGTGAGTTTGTGTTACTTTTGTATTATTGATAATTTCTCATCAACACAACTTTTTTCAAGATCTGTAGTTTATTTTAATTCGGGATCAGGCGTTAATCCGAAGTTTGATATAATTCTGATTAGCAATTTCCATAATTACGTGAACAGAAAATGTTTGTATACCATCTTCAATAATCACCTAACTGATATTGCCATTGAATTGGTTTTGCAGTTTTCAGATACCTTGAAATTTTAATAAAATAGTTAATCTAAGAAACAAATATTGACGAGAAAATCTACAAACTTTTTTGAAAATTGTCAATCATGATGTTACTTCATGGTCGTGGATTTTGATATCAAAACATGCCGACTTTTTTCAATTTCTTTGCTTTGCAGGTTAGAAACATGACTTCACTTCGAGTAATCAAGTTGACAGGAAATCCCATTGAACATCTCTCAGCTAGAGATTTTGAAGGCTTGAACAACTTACGTGAGATTCGAATTGATAATATGAAACTCACATCAATGGATGTGACAGAATTATTCCCCGCTCTTCCCGCTATCAGGTATATCAGTAAATTCGCACATATAAGCAAAGTTCATGATTACTATCTAAGATAGCATTTTACTGAGTTTTTTTAAAAAATTTTCTCTTGTTTAGTGAGTTCTGTGTAGTAGTCTAAGGTGCATCGAACGCAATAAGATGGAATCCGCCAGAGGGAGGCGGCGAGGCTATATTAAAATTAATTTTGTTGAGCCTTCCGCGTATTACATTTTATACAAATATCACCTAACTTAAATTGGAGATACCATACAGATAATTGAGCTGTTATATACCCAAATGACAATGAGAACCATGACAGGCAATTCATATTATTTCATTCCTTGGGTAGTGTCAAATAACACTGTCAAGATACATTTTACAGGACTCTTCACTTGTCTGGAAATCCATGGATGTGTGACTGTAACATGCAGTGGTATTCTCTGGGTATTGATGGACACAGAGCTAGAGTGACAACTGAAGATCGTTCGAAATTAAAATGTGCTGGTCCGGGTAGATTGAATGGAAAATCGTTTGATTATCTTCGTTTAGGAGACTTCGGGTAACTAACCTCCTGCAAATAAATTGATACCTGAACTGTTTAAATATCCCGAATGAAACTTTTGTTATTATGATTTTTGTGAAAGCGTATTTTAAAATAGGAGAAATAATTCAATAACCAATCCTGTATATTGAAACTCCTTAACAATATATTTGAAAAAAATTACCTCTTCCCTTCTATTTTTAAGGCAATGTATTGAAAGCAAAGTCGTCGAGGTTGATGAAACCTCAGTTGTCGTATCTCTGCCTTCTTTAAATGCAGTTGGAAGACAGGGTAGCAATGTTTTCCATAAAGTATCATACGTTCCGCTTATTGGAGATCATGAGGAAATCGTAACCATAGTACAGCGAAGTCACAAGTAACAATATAACTATCTTGAGTTTGAAAAATCATTGTTTTTTATCGGATTTTATTGTTCAAACAACCTCAATTTTACATTGATGCTTCATTAGGACTGAGACCTAATTCTATCTATTCTTTGTATATTTCATGCCAGACTAAGTGTGATGATGTACTCACGTTGAAAGTAATTCTATCATTCCAATTTTATGATTTGCTTTTTCCCCGTGAATAATGACGAGTAATAAAAAAAAGTAAACTATGATGCTTTAATGGACTATATCAAATGTTATTAAAAACAAAAGTTCTTTGATATTCTTGCAGAGAAATTCGATTGTCAACACTTATTCCTGACACGTCGTATGTTGTTTGCGTCTCTGCTGTTGTTCCTTTAAAATTGAGACACAATTCAGGCAATCAAAATGAAGAGCCAATAAAAAGACGAATCAATTCTCAAATAAATGAAGAGTCTTGTCAACGGGTAAATACTTTTCAATATTTTACAGTTTTCCAATATTATTTTTCTGTCATGCCTCTTATTACAAGAGAGCAATGTTCAAATATAAAGACACGAGGACCGAGATGAAATTTTTTACCCAGATTTTCTAGTCATAACAAAACCGCATCCTACTTGCATTGTAAAATTTGCAAACACTACTTAATATTTACAGAAGACAGGTGGGACAATCACAAGCCGCGTCAGTAAAGGAAAATAACAATGTAACAATTTCGTGGGATTTTACTGTTCACACTGACAAAACTATTCCTTACCTTTCAAAATCCTGTCTGTTAATTGATGTGGCCATACTTACCATCCGAAAGAAACACCTCTAAAAAAATATTTGAAAAACTTTCAAAATACAAAGATCTAGAAATCAATAAATACAGATATATGGGAACTTCAACAATACCTGTAGTCTAAGGGGCGTTTGAACTTTTCGAAACAGCTCACATCTTACGTAAAGTACTTTCTATCAATTGATGACCTTGGCATGACCTCAGGAACTTCTGGTCGCCAGAGGTTAATGAATTAAAATAATACCAAAAAAAGAAACTGAGAAATAATAACAAAACGACCCATAGGTCCAATTTGTGTCCAATAACTTTGTTATTTTTTTAGTTTCGCACAAAAGAACCAAAAGTTAAAACGCCATGGAGCAATGGAGCAAAAGCTGGATTGGATGAGAGTCCCAAGTATCTTATAATTGTTATTGCTGGTCTTGCTGGTGCTATAGCCATCACTCTTGTTGCAACTGTGATTTCTGTCGCTGTCTGGTGCAGAAAGTAAGTAAATAGTGTTAGAGCTAATACGGTACTTGTAGAGCTGCAATTAACATCCTATAGTTTCATCTTATATTATCATCTTGTATTAGGCTAGTTAGCTGCTTTCGTGCCAAAGTTGGCAAATATTGTTAAAAACTAGTCTTCATCGTTCATTAGAATTAAAGCAAACGCACAAGGAGAATTTCATGCATTTGACGATACAATTGATGCGGAAAATCACGAAAATGAGACATCGAAAGCAAAATCAAAAGTAAAAAGTCGTGAAAAATCTGGAAATGGAAAAACAAAGCGCCAGGCAAACGAGACTGCAGACAGAGATCAAAATGGAGAAGCTCTGGAAATGACCTGCGGAACAAATTCTGGCAACGAAAATCATGCATTTAACTCTTCGGAGGTCGCACAACGTACCAAACTTTAAAGTAAAATAATAACATTTAGTATTTTATTTTTATATATTTTGATTATCTTGTGACTTTTTACATCTGGCCATGAATGTATATTATTAGTTAGTTTGCTTTGTTTTTCAGTTCAAGTCCAGAGCCAAAATTCTAAAAGTATCAATAAAATAAAGATATTCTACTGTGATTTTGGTTTATATTGTACATCTTCTACTTATTTTACTGTACAATGATAAATTTTTATAACTGCGAAACATGAGATAAAAAATTAGGTTTTGCTTTCATATTTGTAGTTGTTACATTTATGAGGGAAATTTATTAAAAAATCGCACTGGGGAATAAACATTTTGTTTATAGTTTGACAGGCCATATCAATAATATTTTCACTTGTTGCCATCAAACATGACGTCACGAGTTTCATTATTTTTAAAAGTGAAATTTTGCGTAAGTCAAAGTTGCCTCATCATCAATGATGATCAATGACAACAACAATCGTGATAAAATTTTTGTTCAATTTGCGACCTCACTAATAAAATTTTATCGGTGACAAAATCGCCACGGCTAGTTTACTAGAAGAATTGTATCTTATCAACCAATCACTCAGGTACACCTGGTATTTGCTGGTAACACGTCAAAAATGATTGATGACTTAGTTGGCAATAGTAGCCCACCCATTGTAACTTGTTTACAGAACATAGGTGGTATATGAGTTGCTTTTTATACAGTTAATAGTTGTGGTTATTGTTTTTGAAAAAACAACCAAATAAAATGTTTGAGCTAAAAAATAATTTACAGTAGCTAGTGTATGCTATGATTCTGTAAAAATAATGCAGGATAGTTAACGTAGATGGGTGTGTAAAGTGGTTTCTCTCTGAGTTAAGATCACTTCTCACTGATTTTCTACGTTTAGTTTATTACGGTACAAATGTTTAATCAGCAATTTTTCCAACCTTTTTTTTCTGCTTCTAGGAATTCTTCGATTTAAAGTCTGAACTCTTTTGTTGATTTTTGGAAAATTACTAGAAGTACTTGCTTTCATTATAAATAAAACTTTTACCATTGTATATATTTCATTGATGTTGTGTATCAACTTTTTCAAGTAATAAATGAATGTGTAAATGTACATCTGATGTTTACTGGACTAAACAATTATCAATTGAGATTAATGAGAGAAAGTATAGTATACTAAAGAATAGAACATTCGTGTCAAAATTCTAACTCATTCCGCTTGCCAAAGATTTATTCTAGAGAAGACACTAGGAGAGCTAGAGCATCGAATCATAACGATTATCCGTGACCTAGTCAACATTACCCAGGTAACCTTTTGTCAACATTGTAAAAATAAGGTGGAAGTTCTCAGTGTATCGAGTTAACTCCACAGAATTTTCAAAATACTTGACTACATCATTTCCTCTTTTATGTTTATCTGATAAAGTCAGATAAGTTCCTAAATTTTTTATATATATCTTCTATTAAATCCAACGTTGAAACTAACATCCAATCGGTTTCCACAATACATTGGAGGAACGTAAAAAGTGAAAATGTTAAATTTTGTTCCGGTTTTCAACGAAATATACGAACTAACGACAAAAACTTGAAAACATGTTTTTGTTGTTCTGTTTATCCACATTACTGGCATACAAAGTAAGTGAGCCAATACAACGATAATTTAGACGGGTAGTAATTTTTTTCTTGTAAAATTTCGACGATATCATAAGCAGAGTAACTGCTGATATACTTTTTATGTAAATGTATTTCATTCAACACTCATACGAATGGGCAGCAGGATGGTTTTTTTTCATTATGCATTGACGTATTTCTGTATGTTTATATCAAAGAAATAGTTATCTGGCATAATCTCTTGGGAATTGATGAGAACGTTCGACAAAATGGCCGTCAAATAACGACTGAATTTGTTTGTATTCTGAAATAACTTCTCATTTGCGCCTTGAATTGTAATGTTTTTTTTTTTTATTTCAACTTTTATAATTTCTAAGAAACTTAAAAATGGTTAAATATTTCCACTTATATTTCAATTAGTTTCGATTCACTCGGTTAATTGCTGATTTTTTTTATTTCGGGATTGTTTAAAAATATCGATACTTTATCAAATTATTTGTCTCTTTATAAGAAAAAATGTTGTTCCTGTTTTTGACAATTTTATACAAATTCTAATGCTATTCGTTAGACAAAGTGATTACCGGTAGTTGCCATAAAAAGCCACCAGCGGAGATTCACGGCCAGTACTCTGGAAGCAGAATCACGAGATCTAGGCATCTCAGGCGTGCCGTGTAACGTACCATAAAATCAAACATAAACTTCGTGGTCCAAGCGCACACCCTGGAGCCACAATATGAGCCTATGCACCTGTAAAAACAGCTTTCATTCACGCCTTTGGTTGGTTGCGTAGAATTAAGTGTTTACTTTCAATTGGTCACCGATTTGAATATGCGCAAGCTGCTTTGCGCCACATTAAAATAACGTTTCCAGCTACACAAATAATTGTAGATTATTTACAGATAAGGATGAAGATTTATTTTTGAGCAATAAATGCTGATGGATATTATGTTGCATACACAACAAAATCGAAATATATTTGCATATTTAATTCCATGTTTCTCACTCAATTTTATTTTTCTTGTTCGCCAAAATTACTGTGCTTCACTTGAAAAAATAGTTTGTCTTGGAGATACAAATAGAATTCCGAATAATATAACATTGAAACTAGTAATGTGAAAGAAGCTATTATAAAATCTTAAAATTTAATCATAGATGGAGGTGAAGCATTCACACAACGTATTTTTTAGCTGAAGCCTATAAAAGAACAGGCTGCAACATAATAACTATTAGTTTGATTGTGTATCATAATTATACTTTATTCGGTAACTAAGACTTATACTAAAAAATTGGTTTGTAACTGGAATAGCAAAATGTTGTTTAATAGGATGTTTTTCAAGATTTGCATAATGAAGGATTTTTTGTATTCCTCCCTATAAAAATAATTAGATTATTTTGTTCACATGCTACCTAATATTAGAACACATGACAATATATACCGCGATTCTATTATAAAATTATGTACTACACAAAAGAATTGATTATCAAAAAAATGGATACATATATCAAAAAATACAACTCAAAAAGAAAAAAGGGGAGAAAAAAATTCAAAGAAATTCTTACATAATGTACAAGTTGTCAAAATAAAAACTCACGATTTTATATACACTAAACAGCAATGTAAAACATTGATTTACCAAACTGTATTCAAAAAGACGTTCTCCTCTTTCAGGCACATATATCCATATATAGCATCTATATATTGTTAAATACAAATATATGACAAATCACAAAAGCAAGAGAGAAATTACAGAATCATTGATTATTAGAGCACAGCATTGTCTTGTTGACTATGTTTCAAAGAAAAAAGATCAAAGCAAAAATCTATTTAATAATTCGACATGGGGATGTTATTGTTCACGCTTTTCGTATGTTATCCGTTCTATATTTCAATTTTAAAAGATTTGAACAACAAGTTAAAATAAACTACTACTACTTTTAATAATATTTAAAGCTGATATTATAAACAAACCCAGTCCAAACATAGTCCAGGGTCAGGAATGAGATAGAAATGAAAAAAAAAATACAAAAATGTATACATCCGCCCTGTAAATATTTATTTTTAAATAAAGTAAAGTAAGTAAAAGTAGGTATTGATCAAACCACAATTAAATTATTCCTTTTTAAATCATTTTATCATGGGACAACAATTATAGCTTTTTTCTTGTACGATATATGTAACAAGTTATATCTTTACATTTTGAATAACTATCGAAAATGAGTGAAATTGATGCTCATTTTATAATTTCATAGCCTACATATCTGACATCTGGTAGGATTTGATTTTGAAGTCATCATTCGGAAGCAGCATCAGTACCGTGTCGCATTAAATTTCACGCCGAGTTTTCCGCTCCAAACGTCTTCTCTCCAGCAGCACTTTATTAATATAAAGAAATAATATAGAAAAAATTAGAATGGATTCCATGATAAAGAATAAAAATTACTAAATAACCGACAATACACAAGTTTATTCCTTTTGTCGGAAAGATACGTCTGATCTCTTCCCTTTGATCCTACGAGAAACATTTTATTTAGTATGTCTTGATCTGAAACTTTGAACTAATCGGAATTGATCTTTCAATAAGCATATTCCAACAATGTGTGTTGTTTCTTTATGTATTCTCAAAAGTGGCCTCTGTTATCTATATACTTATACTAAAATGACGTTTTTGACTGTTTTCGTTTGGTTCTTACTTTTTTTATTTTTTTGCTCAAAAATGTAATCTGATCAACAAAGAGCTGGACTAAGATCAAAAACTAGGTATTTTTCCTATCTCAATTTAGTTATGTGGAATTGGGAATAATGGGCGTGAGAAAGGTTAGATAGTTTTGAGTTTTGTTATTGAAAAAAATAATAAAAATAAAAATCTATTTTCTTTTTACAAATATATACTTCTTGTGGCAATTTGTTTTATTGGAAACACGAATTAAATGGTTAGTCAGCACATTATACACCGTAATAATAATATCCGAAAAAAGTTTAAAAAAATAAGGTAAGTTTATCACAAAACAATATGCTATAAATACAATATGCCGGCAGCATTTGTATGTTTACTGCAATAGGGAGATAAAAGTCAAAAATTCAAATACTTCAGCAAGAGGTCTAAGGTTATTGTTGGTGAATTCAGATTCAAGGTCAGGCTTTTTAAACAAATCCACGCGAATGCCGCCGTACGCTTTAATTGATTCGTTTCGTTAATAACCTGGTATCGATTTTTAATAACGCTTCTGTTCTTCTCAACACTCAATTCCCTAGCGGCACCCTACAATGTGTAAAGTTTGGTAAACATATCGACGGAAACTTCGAAACAATGTTTTTGTTACGGAACAGTGCTGACAGAAAGGCTTTACTGAAATCAATACAAATTTCCACAGTCCTACATTCTAAAAAATTGTAAGAATTTTATATATATGTGAAATTAATAAGATATAAAAAATGCCATATATATCTTGTGAAATCAATGAATTGTGTTTCTGGAATATTTTCGAACTTTATTCGACAAATTTTGAATTAGGCCCTTTTTTGACTGGATACAATATACCGGCATTATAAAATTTTACACAATATGTCAAAATTTTGTTATCGTTTTTCGAGGGTTGCCTTTGCGCAGAAAAATCTATCTAACTATCTTACTGCCATTTTTATTCCTGCAGTTTTAATACTTTGCCACGGGATATACCTTATTTTAATTCATTATTTTATGAGATTTAAAACCTAACTGGGTTCATTTATTAGCATATACATTTGTATAAGTGCGTAAAATTAAAAAAATGAATAAAATAAAAAATTCGTGAACGTTCTGCTATTACTTTCAAGTGCAACATTGGACGCAGTCCAATTCTGTCGTCTATGAAGATGGAGTTTTAAAAAAGCAAGTAGAATAGGTCACAAACAGGACGGATTTTTGAGTTGATCAAATCTCAGATATACGAAGGCTTTAGGTATCATCCATGCACTAAAAGTAATAACTTCTTTTTGGGCGTGAAATTTCCTCGCGTGAGATAAGGATTATGCGATAAACGTGATATCTTATAAGCACATGATTTAATACATTATTTTAATCATTTGGTACTTGATGTGAAATTATAAAATAAAATTCAACCAGCTTTTTTGCTACATGTAACCACTTTCGGTTAGGAAGTAGAAATAAAAAAAAATAGCAAACTGATAACGTCTGGGTCACCATCTGACACAGAGATTTTGAACATGGCCGCAACCCTCTTTAGTGTTTTTAAAATTCCATCACCTGTTGTGATGAACAAGATACGAAACTTTTTTGCTTTATATGCCAAAAATGTGACTTAAACATATATATTGTTTTTTTGAAAGCGTTAAAAAGATCATTCGGATTAAAAAACTTCATTATTGCATATATCTTAATTGAATCATCTTCGTTTAATTAAGCCTAACGTTGAAATTGTTAATATTATCAAATCTAAATTTTTGCGATTTGCTTATGATATACACTAAAATACCTAAAAAGTAAAGACTTAATCAATTAAATTGTGAAGTTTTATCTCCAGTTAATAGATTCAATTCAAATTGTGTGTTGAAATTTAAAAAGAAACAATCACAGGGTTGGTATATGCTTTATTATTGCTAAAAGTTTGATTCAATCGATTGAAGGCGATAAATGCGTTGAAGCAATGTTTGTAAGCTATTAGACAAAACTAAAACTATTTTAGGAAAAACCTAATTTGCGTTAAGTAATAAGCATCAGATGGATTATATTCCACAAAAAACCATCATTACATATTAACCTCGAGCTCGGATACCCTCCATTTTGAAATGCCTTTTTCACTTATCGACTCACATTAGCTAATATTATACCGTTTTAACGACTTTGCCGATTAATCAAAGTGACATTTTACAAACGTGGAACGTTTTAATGCGTCTCAAAGATAATGGAGGACAAAAAATATGTTTCGTTTCATAAGATATTCAATAGACAAATATTGCTTATATTACCTTCTTCTATAAACTGTAAGATAGCAAAGATATAAGTATCTATATCACAACACGCAACGAAGTCATTATGTTAAATGCAAAGATACATAGATAGCATGTGTAACTTTGTTCATTTTGATGTAAACTATTTTTCTTGTGAACAACCGTATGGTTTTTATAAAAAAATCAAATCCGAGACGAAAGTACCCACTCAAAAAACATACTCACGTACACTGAAGCAGCTGACGTATAGAATTTTGTTAAAATCCAAGTTGATATAATGGTGTATTATCTTACAACCAATGCGAATTTATTGGGTGAATTTAAAATGTAGCATGTTATGTCAAAACGTCATAACAAAATCAATATATTTTTTGAAATATTGAAAATACATGAAAATACCAAATCAAGAATCTTAGAAATAAATGAATGGCGTTTCAAACAGGCGCGGTTTGTCAATAAAATTGCAATGGGTGATTTTACTGACTGAAAAAAAATCTTGCCACGTTGTTAATACTTTCTCTTGTTATTTTGAAGGCGTTGAAAGAACTGGTGACACCGGTCGATTGTGGGTTAGATACAAAACGTTCCAGGCAGTAAATCGTTTAAAGCCTTTCAATCAGGTTTTCCTCGATATCCCAATTCTTAACCCACTGATATTCACTGATACGTTTAAACGGTGGGCACTCTTACGATTTGGTGAAAACGTGAAAAAGGGTAAACATTTTGTAAATAATGATTGAACGGAATTTTAAACATTCAAGAAAATTGTCTTTAGGCTAGGAGCAAAGAATAAAAATGCACTAAGGTAATCTTTATGGAAAAAGTGTTTTACATTATATTGAGTAAGTATAGTAACGAACAGAAAAATGATAGGTTTATTTTAAGCAACTTCACAATCACAACTTCCATGAGCATACATTCTACTCGTATTAGTAATCTTCCCTTTTCATAACTAAACTTCCCTCTGTTGTTGTTTTATGGACTTTCTTTTTTCGAGTTGCCTAATTAAGTTTTAGGCTATATTTGAAATTGACACAAACAATAATTTTTAGTAGGCCACACCTTTCTAATTGAGAAACAGTCAATGACGAGAAGTTTACACGCATTTTTAAAAAAGGGCATATTTTAAATAACAACATAGGATAAAATCAACTTTTCATAAATGGAGACGTCATTATGTTATAAATATTACTTAATTATATTATTAATATTAATTTTTTACAATATATGCTTTGCCTGTATTTCGAACACCAAAAGATACAATTAAGGGTATTCCAATAGCAGGGGCAAGCATTAAATCTATTACACATAATTTACAGATTTCTACCATAAGCTAATGTTTCACTTAGACTGTCTATAACACACAAATATCAGATACCTCAAATTTGTCTGGCTAGTGGTTTGTACTTTGTATTGTCTGGTTAGTGGTATCAAGAACAATCGAAATATTTTATTTCTAAACGTTGCAGAAGCAAAAATTTGCATATATCTTCCACTTTCCTACAAACAAATGTCTAATACTTCGCCCACAAGGATTAATACCACTTAGATAGTGTTTACTTCCTTGTTTCAGTTTAAATTTCAAACTTAATGAATTTTTTATGTTTCTCCAATAATCCTTTGACGATGTTACACGGATTTTGAGTGAGAGATTGTGTGTTTAAACAGTTTTTCTATTTAAACAGATGTTTCTATAGTACATGGTAACACAAACCAAAATAAAGTAAAAACGAACAACAATAATAAACAAACTTAAACCATACAAACTATTTACCAGTTATGTAAATTGATCAATTACATTTATTATCACGGAGTGTCTCTGCTAGTTGCACTCTGGTGCCAAGTATAAAAAAAAAGTGAAGAGGAAAAGTTCATTCCAAGAGCACCAATTAATTTTTGTATTTTAATTATTGATAAAACTTTACAGGTGTCAAAAACGAAGACCCAATAACAGTCGTTGAAACGCTTCGAGACGCCTAAATACAAAATGGCGCGTTTGCATTATTCGAGTGCTGTGCTGATGTTATATAACAGATAAAGTTGAATGAAAATTGCAGCAGTATTGCATATTTAAGGAGTTGTTAAACGTTATTCTAGTATGAATATTATTCAGGCGGTGTAGCAAACAGTTCAGAACTACCGCGAGAAATATAGACGTAACTAAAGCTTAGCAGCAATAGTATTGAATATCCGAATTTCATATTGCAACGATTGTATCTCTACATTAAACAGTCAAGTTTGAGCAGAAAAATACTTGGCAGATTTTATCAGTTTTTATAAAAAGAAAGAAACAAAGTATGTATGCAGAGGTTTTATGATACTTATTCCGGAGAGTTCAGAGCCAGATGTTTTTAAGATATTATTTTGATTAAACGTCCCATGAGTTTATTTTGAAGCAAATGTGACCTCAAGATTTTCTTCAGAAATGCCGAGTTTAGATTCTGATTAAAATTTAGTCGTCACGCTCTCTGTGTGTTCGAGACCAAAATTTGTATTTTATAAATATTTCAATATTATTTTCGTTCATTATGTTTCTTTTTCTACTTTAGTTAGTCATGTGATACTGTTTATTCACAGAAAAAGGGCATTTATTTGTAAATTCTCATTAAAATGAAGATATGCATGTTTTAGATATTATATCTAAAAAAATCTGTAAACTTTATTTAATATTAAATATTACAGTTTTAAAATGCAAATAATAGAGATGATAAAACAACAAAGAAATTTTTTACCTGATATGTTAAGAGATAATTTCAAAATAATCTGTTGTTGATCTTTCTTTATCAACCTAAAAAAATATTTTTAAAAAAATTCAAATTTAATAAATGAGAAATAATTATGAAAAAACATTTTGCAATTACCTTCCCGTTTTTGTATAATGTAGAAAGAACGAAAACAGACTACCTTGACTAACTTTTTACTTCTATTCTTCTTAATACTTACAAATATTAGATCTAAAAAATATTTGTGAACAAAATATCATTCTTGTGTTATTTTTACATATACCTTAGGACATCTAACGAATTTCACAAGAAATGAGGTAATTTTAGAAAAAAAACATCTTTTTATTCAGAATTTTATATCGTATACATGAAATCGCATTCCCCTCTTTTTGTTTGAACAAGAAATAAGTAGCATTATTTATGAGCAAAAATTTGTCTTTTTTGTTTGAGATCTGGAATTGAAATTATCCTATTGAGTAGCTAATTTTCCGTGACGAAAAGGCGGTTCGAAATTGTCAAATAATGACCGTCAGATGGACACCGTTGGTAGTAAAGTCAGGACTGTTTCTGACACGCTTTTACAAAGCGGGCGTCTGACAGACACCAATTTCACGGACTCCAAAAAAATCTATTGATTCTTTAATAAATTTCTTTATAATTTTTATTTGCACGGTTTTGGCAACAGGTCATTTTCACTGTATACCGTTCTCAAAACCACAAATCTATAAACTTTCAGCTAGCTATTAAACAAATATAATGTAATTTTAACTTTCCCAAAGTTATTAAAATAGTTCCAGTAAATTGAGTGATTTTTCAAATTTTTTGCAGTTTAAAAAGATTCAAAACCCTAAGCCTATTTTTGAATGAGAAATTTTCTCTAATTTGTGCATTATCAATAAAATCGTGAATTTTCAAACCCATTTCCACACCCACGATTCAGTAAAATTGACACAAAAAGAAGGAAAATAATGCGATAGTCAGAAAATGGTTAAACATGGTTGTCATTAAATTGACGATAGTTTGGACTATCGTCACACCCATTAGTGCGTTCGCACTGATAAGCGATCCAACGACACCTTTGCCTTTTTCAAGCCGTATAACATAAAACACAGTCAGAATAAATAGCCGCGGGCGTTACCAGAAAAACACGAATACCATCTAACTCGTTGCTGTCAAGTTTTATTCACATAAAACTAAAGTAATGTAGTTTTTATGCATTTTATAAAAATTTTATTATAATTCAATTGTTACATAAACTGCAATTATGACAATTACTTTATTTATTTTAGATAGAAAAAAAAAACGAAATTATCTGAAAATACTCTGAAAATATTCTATTCCCAAGCAAATGAATTTATAAAGTTGGAATTAAATAGATAAATAGTAATCATAATTAAACAGCGTTCAGTTATCATCATAATTTTTCTTTTTCATTGCTTTCCGTACATATTTTTTTTAATATTTTTCATTTTGTACATCACTTAACTAAAAACATCTAAATTAAAGTAAATCAAATCAACATGAATGTAAATGCCCATAATAAATAATTTTGTTTTGCTATGCAATTTATGTTCCAAATTGCAATATAATATATAAATATAATCAAATGACAACATTTTGTAAGAAGTTGCAGTATATATATATCACCTACCCAAACGTATAATATAATTAATGGTGATCTCACACAATAATTCTTGATTAATTATTAGCTCACTTGCTCTTGCTCAAAAAAATATATAAATGAAGAGCTATTAGCGTCCAAAACGACAATATAACTATCAAATTATAATAATTAATTACAATATTAAAAAGAGCAAGCTGAATTTTTTTTAGATTATTTCTAGTAAAGCCCTCAACAACTTCTATTACCATCTTTATTAAAAAATACTGCACATTATATATTTTTGCTTTTCTATAATTTACTCAGTTTTGACAAATAAAATTTTAAGCAGGTATTTCTTTGAGATCTTTTCTAAAATGATTTATTCAAAATATAACGTTAAATTTTAAAATAATATCTTTTGTTATTTGTGAATGACATAACGCGTTTTTTGTCAGTTCATTTTTAGAAAAAAATATAGCAATTCATAGATATTGAGTTACTAAAGAATATATATTTTCTTCCAGATTCCCGTGATATAAAATAACCAGTTATGGTTGAAGAAATCATGAATATAATGACACCGTGAAATTGTTTCGCCACACTGAAATCGACTTTTTGCGGGTCTGGTAAACAATACAGATGCAGGAATGCCCAACACATATGCCCTTTTGAATTAGATTTTTATGGAGTTTTTTTTTTTACAAAATGGTATCGATCAGAAAGAGTTTAATGAGTTGATAATGCTGAGGCGGGCAGTACCTCATTTACCATTGATATTCATAAATATGCTGCGCCTAAAAGGCCCAAAAACGATTCAGTCAAATTTGTTAAGGCCAAAAATTTGCAGTTCAAGCCGAATTTCACAGTTTAGTAAATATTCTAGATAAGATTTTTACACATGTCCGGAAGTTTTGTATTAAATTTTGTTATCAGTTAACTTAGGTCAATTATTGCTCTATTTTTGCTCATTTTGTTTTATACACGAAGTTTTTTGACATTTACAAAAATGGAATATTTGAGTAAATATAAATATGAAAATGGATGGAATATAATAAAATACCGGATTTACTGTTACTGATTTTACTGGATAAATTGGATATGGCAGATATAGTTTACACCTGTTTTATCTAACAATCTATAGGTAAATAGAATAAGATCGTTGAAAGCAATTGCACTAAGCATTCGAATGTGTGGATCAAATAGTGGAATATTAAACAGTATGGAATCAACTTACTCATCATAATTTTACATGTTTAATTAGGAATAGAAAACTCTTCATAAATAAACAAGTAAAATGGAAATCTAATTCACGTAACTTTCGGTATTTTTTAGAAATATTGATTATACCTATTTTGGTGAAAATGACTTGCTGGATTAATAAGGTAACAAACCTTTACAAATAGAGTCCATGGGTTCCCAAACTGGAGGAATTACCCCCAAATGGGTAATTTGGCAATTTTTATGAGTCAGTCGAGACGTTCATTGTTTTAACAATTTATTTTGCTATTTTCGTATTTTTGACTAGTCTGGTAAAAAGCTGGGCACGCAATGCTCGCATCTAGGCAGTTGGGGACATAATACCATTTACAATACTACGTCATACAGATTGTAGGCTAAGATTCTTAGCTAGCGCAAGTTTAGCATCTTAAAGTATGAGCAGAATCTGATCATGTATTATTGCCATTTTTGGTCAAAGAAATGTGATAACGATATGACCACTGTATATTTAGGAAAGGGGTAATTAAGTTTTCGGTTATACGATTTAGGGGTAACAGTGTTAAAAAGTTTGCGAACCACTGAAATAGTCTTAGGGATGCTTTCCAGAAATAACTAAATGGTTTGCATTATTGGCGACAACTCTTCGAGAATAGCATAATGTCATGTTAGTTTCAATTTGTGGTTTTTAAATATGTCAAACAAAACACCAGCAAAAAAGCAACAAACTAAGTTAAAGCGAAAATAAACTTATGTATAATGTTGTATACTACAATAGTTCTGCGTATAGGTTTGATATGGAAATCTGAGGAATAGCTTCGACCTAATCGTACATTCTTACATTGCATCCGATTCAAATCATTGCCTTATTGTGTAAATTAGGAATGCTAATAGTGTTCAAATTTCGATAGCTAATATCAATATGGAACTACTCTAAATTGAATTTGTTTCTTGAGAGTTTCCAGATTTTGTATAAAATATTATTGATCACTATTTCTACAGTCGCCCGACATACTTATAGTCGATGCAAGTGTGAGTGAGCAAGCTGAAAATGTAAGTGAAAGCCTTGGGCAAGAGAAGTGTTCAGTCAGGTTTTGCAATTATGCTACACGGATCTCAGCCATTGAGCGACCTATAATAGGCATTTACTCCCACAAAGATATCAGCCTCCTTATATTGAATTTACAAAATATACTCTGCAAATAAGCGTCAACGTTATGTCGGTTATGGTACTGTTGTATTCATTTTTGATTTGGCTTTCTGGATTTTGGTTTATTTCTATTTATTTGTTTTTAATTTTTATTGTTAAATTAATTTCTGTCTTTTTGAAGTGATTCCTACTGTTACATACGTTTGACTCTAGTCGAATCAATAACCTATCCGATGAATTTAATATTCCATTATTTTAAGATACGTTCTGAGTTTTGGTAGTTAGTGTGACTATCGTTGCAAAATAACATTAAAACTGTCTGTGATGTGGTGCCAACCATATCATACATACCATGTATGTATCTTGCGGCATTCAATATTTGTGTTTTGCGATATTATATGAAAGAAGATATGTAAAAAAGTGTATAGGAATAGCCATTCAATTTTCTGTTGTTAATAGATAAATAGAATTAATAAACATGCCAAAATTTTAAATAACTTATTTGACATTTCTCGATATAGCGCGCCATCATGCGGATGCCTCGATTAAAAAAAAGTTACATACAAAATTTTGTTGAAAAAATTCCATGGTAAGTTCGAAGGTCAATATTCAACCTGACAAACTCAGTTGCTGTATTTTTCTATACTTTTCTATAATTTTCTTCAGTTGGCAAAACATGGGTAATTGATTACCAAAAATTCCGCGCAACGACTTGAATTTGTACTGAAAACATCCTTTTTGGAATATTTTGGCTTTTACCCTGAGTTTTATCTTGTGCAATTCAGGTTCCATTGTTACATAGCACTTTTATTACATAGGAATACAAAAATAGTACGTGAAACTGGAGTTTTTTAAATAATTATATAGGCACGTGATTTCATGCTCAAAAACCAACACGAGTACGCATTGAAAAAAATATTAACCTCTAACATTATAACAAACAGTATGTTTGCCAGAATCCGCAGCTTACAACTTTAAGCTGTTTTTGTTTCGGGCTTAAAATGTTATCATTGACAACTTTCTTTTGTGCAATGTATCACAGCTGTTGACGGTAAACATCAAGTTCACATTTTAAGCGCAGGTGACCTTGGACTTAT